AATTAATAATTAAAAAACTGCATAATACAGGTTTAGTTTCTCCACAGTAGGTATTGTAGGTTGTGGTTGTGTTTTTCAGCTTGATTGATTTTGTGTGATAAAGAGTACATTCTAGTATGCATTGGTGAATTATGACGTACTAAACTGTGTTCTATTTACAAAGTTCATTGGTGCAGCAGCCAATGCAATTGGGCTGTGGATACAGTGAGCTCTGACAAAGCAATATGACTGCCTCCACAGTTATATTATTAACACCATCTTAACATTATTATTATTATTTTTTTGGATATTTTATATTTTTGGTATTAACCCAAAGTTATTTTGACAAAGTAAATCTGCAAATGCCAATATAGTGCCATTTACTTCTGCTGTCTTGTTAGGTTACAGGATGTTTTGGTAAAAGCTTATTAAACTATTCACCAGTGCATCAGTAGTGGCCAAGAACGACACATACCTGTTGTTTTTCACTATTACACAGCTACACATAGGCAGTTTAATTGCACGTGCATGGTTTTTTGGTTTGGTATAACCTACAATACCAACTGCAACTTTAAAAACACTCTGCATTTAGCAATAGTAATGACAACAATGATTATACAAAGATCTTTGTATTAGTTTCAGTTATAAATGGTTCTGACATCATAATAGTGCTTTGTTACTATATAAAAATTATTTGTATCAACAATTTCAAATAAGATATAGTTTATTTTGCATTTCTAAATAATTTATAATTTATTCACTTAATCTAATTATGTAAAATAAAATTATTTTAACAGCAATTTGAAAAAATTGTAGTCCTATAAATTCCCAATGTCGTCCATCTGTCCTTCCTTCATCTTGAGAATGGAGTTAGATAGACGAAAGTTGGAAACAGATATGGAAAGCTTAGGGGCAGGAGCCCCAATTAACTATATACAAACTTCCAGTACAAACCAAAAGTCACATTATTTCAATTCAAATTTCCACCTGAAAGGAGTTAGATGACAGGCTATTCTAACAGGAAAAGTATGATGTACAAGGGCAAGACACTAATAATTTGTGGTAGAGAGTATATATTTTAAGTTAAACAAATTAAAAATTACAACCTGGTATTGTGACAATGTCACAATAAATAATTGCTCATTTTATAATTAAATTCTTCACAGGTCTGTATTCTAGGATTCATTATGTAAAAAAAAATCTACCTGAACAGGATATTTGTGTAGTTTATAGAATAATCACATAATAATAAAAAAACAGCTGTTTTTCTGCATTCTGTATTACACAGTTACATTAAAAACACATTTAAATATACAGGGTGATTCATTTTGGACTGAACATTTACTTTGTTCGACACTTCTCTATCACACAGTTATATTTGAATGTAATGTAAAACACCTTAGTTGACTGCTTTGTCACAAAGAATTATCTTGTTTGTTTTTTGTGCTCATCTTTTCTAAAATGAAAAGATGATCACAAAATAGACCTTCTGTTATGCAAATATTGACCCTTAATTTTCCAACCTTCTTCATTTCATTATCTTTTGTCCTTTCCCCACATTTGGGTCTATAATCCTTTGAGTCCCAACTTACTTCAGCTTTATTTAGTATTCCTTCCAGTGTTACAAGATTTAACTACCCTTTTTATTAGTTTGGCATAAAAAATATCATTGGTGCATTGGCTACTTTTTGGGCTACATATTATTTATACTAGAATACTAGTTGAATAAAAATGCACTTTAAAATGGTGTTTCATTGTTTTTTATTAATCAGAGACCCAAATAAAACAAATATTTGTGTTTTTCAAATAAATTTTTGTTTGTCTCCTTCATAATAAATTAATTTATCTATATCGAAGTAAAAATCGAAAGCATCTGTAGAAGTAATTTTTTAAAATATCCTTTTTTGTGATAAAGTTTTAATACTTATTACTATAATCTACATATGTTAATCCTTAAATATACAAGTATATTTAAGGATTGGGCCGCAAGGTATATTATATATACTTGCAAAACTCCATGACTTCTTCCTATGCCTAGAGAAACAAAAATGTTGGACACCCCTTTACAGTAATAGTTCTCGACCTTTTTTTGAGTTATTGGCACACCCAACAAGCCAGTGCTTCAAAAATTGCTTCATGCTCTTACACAAAACAATTTTTGAAGCACTTATATGAAATGCTATTTTAAGGATCTGCAGTTTTTATTTTTAAAAATAAATTAATAATAATAAAAAATACATAAAGAATTAGCATTTTTAAACAATTTTTTAAAATTTTGTAGCAATGACATCTTAATGCAGATTGTCCACAAGTCAGATGATTAGATCAAACTCAAAGTCAAATGTCTCAATACTCCAACACACAACTAACTAACTATATTTTTGGGATCCATCTATGAAATAGAAAGCTTATCATAGCTATCATTAGAACAGAAATGTAATTTTGATGTTACTTTATTTGTTACAGCAGAATGACCGGGTAGGTTGCAGCCTACCACTCTGGGGGACTCAAGATCGAATCCAGACGGGTCAAAAAAATCCCAGAAATTTTTCAGTAGGGATCCATGTAGATAAGTCGGGGCCCCATCCCTTGCCATAATTGCTGCCCCGATAACAGGATTCCTAAGAAGGCCCTCTTAGTCTATTTTAACTGTAAATGTACCCAATTACTTAATAACTTTAGCACAAAGTATTCAGAAATGTTAGAAAATATTAATAACTCTTAGTTTTAGAGATATTCACTTGATGAATTTTCAGTGATTATTCATTTGAAAACGTGCTGTGGTATTTGTTAATGCCAACCGAATACATAATACGGGACTTGGGGCAGTTTCGATTATGCTCTTTACAATTCTAAATAATCAATTGTTATTTAATGAATAACAATTGATGTCAAAAATGTTTAAATGGAAACAAACAGAAAATTATTTTCAATGAATAAAAAATTTTTTAATCATTTCAAAGTTACTATGCAACACAAAATATTTAATATAAAAGTTTTATATCTGAATTGATGTTATAAAAAAAAAAAAAAAAACAAATTAAGCCAAACATTGTTCAAGCAAAATTTCCTTCAACTTTTCTTTGGCCTTTTCACCTTGTTCTCTAAATTCTTTGATTCGTAATTCTGCTAACTTTTTCTGAAAAACATAAAATAATTATATTATTATATTATATATAAAATAGGTTTTTTAAAGCATGTACTCACTAATTTATTAATATGCCTTTCACATTCCAATTTTAAAAAATTTTCGATGGTGAGTTCGGCTTCTTTCTGATGAATTTTGACAAACAGACAGTTTGACGAGTGTGATTCATGTTCTTTCCTATTAAAATAAACATTTACTATATAATAAATAATTACAAAAGACAGATTATTAATTACTCCTTATTTTAAATAAATAATTAAGAAACAGAACTGTATTAACAGCTGATAAGAACTACTTATTGTAATATAAAACATGATTATAAATTAGAATTTGGATTTTTCTCTTATGAAACTCATACCCTTAATTTTTATCACATTAGAGATGCACTGAGGATACCAACATGTGGTATGAATAAGATGAATAAAACTGTTTGTTTATCTGTATACGACAATGCAACATGTGAACAATCTGCCAAGGGAATGCCTCTTGGGAAGTCTTTCCAAAGGAAACTGACCCCTATTTAGGTGTTATAAATGTGAAAAAACGTGGAAAATTCTACATGCCCAACCCATTGGCAAGATGCAAACCCTCAACCATTACCAGTGTTTGGTGGTTTTATCTGCTTAGCCACTGGTGGGCATGAATAAAACAGAGTTCAAGACCAGGAGAATATGCATTGAGCACTAACATTTGCTTTGAGTATACACACAGATTGGTATAAATAAAAAGTCCAGAGTTTATTCATCCCTACGTCAAACATCAACTAATCCACCCTTCAGTATCATTGATACCAGCATTCCCCTTTCATTTGACATATTCATCACCTTAAACAGATGGTTTCATGATCAAAATGTGTGTGTAATCTATGGCTCTAATTCTTTTCGTCTGATGGTTCTTTTAATTTAATATTTTAAGACAAAGTTTGCCCAAAATAGGACAACCATTTATTATCCGGTGACTGACCTTCCTTTTTAGGCTATTAGCTGCCAAAAAATGCTAAAAAGTCCTTAAAAAGCACAAAAGTTTTCCAATTAAAAATTATAAAATTTTTCTAAAATAGGAACTGGTAACATACTAACGTCTTCTTGATCCATCTAACCTTCTTGGGGTGTTTCAGCATTTTATCCAATAAAAGTAAGTGCTCTAGTTACATATCAAAAGTGATATTTCTCTTGCCGGATAGCTTTAGCTTCTTCTGTCAAGTCACTCAGTTGCTGGAAAGTTTATCCACATATTTCTCTTCTCAGTAATTTTTGATTATCATGTTGGCAATTGTTTTTGAAACTGTGCATTGATCAAAGCCTATCATCAGCAGTATGGATCTGAAAATCTGGATAAATGGTTCTAGAACATTGCTCATTCAAAAGCCACCCATCATATTTTCTACTTTTCTCCCAAGAAATGATTAGCCACTCAATACTTATCTGCTGAATACTCATAGTCAATTCCAGTCCTTTTCATCAACATTAGGACACACTTTACATAACTTTATTTTTCTTTTATATTTGTTTGCTTGGTCATTATCATTGTATACCCGACAAAGCTGAATTTACTGATGATGGGACTTCAAATTACAAAATTACAAAAAGTATAAGCTCACTCACACCAATATGTAAGTTTTTATTCGTATCATATTTAAGTAAAACTGTCCCAGGTTTTACTTAAATAAGATATAGTTTGAAAAGTCAAACTTTAAACTCAGAATTTTTATTAATATGTATCTGAGCATAAATTCCATATTTCCATTAATTTATACTCTATTTTAGTCATGCCACTTAATGTGGATAAAGAATGGAGAATGGCATCCTGACTCAAACCCAATCACAAGCTATCTGACCCAATCACAAGCTATCTGCATTACAGTAAAGAAGCAAAGTTTATTCTCAACATGAATGTACTCAATAATAAACTCTGCCCTTCTCCCTCCTGGTTAGCTTTCTTAGTATATTCATGGAAGGGTTACATGTGAATGGAGCAGAACTATCCATAATAAGCTTGAATGATGTGGTGGATAAAACATAAAATTTTTTTTTCAAAAGAATTAATGAAAGCAGCAATTTATAAAAAAAACTGAAGGGTATTAATTTTAAATTTCTTTAAGTAAGAGTGTATAAATGACAAACAAACAGCAGAATTCCTTTATCAAACTATTAAAGCTAGTTAATTACAGTCGACCCCCCTATAATTACGGTCCCTATAAAACTACGAAAAAATTGCTACCGGTATCCGTAAAAAATAGTAAAAGTTCCCTATAAACACCTCAAACGTCATCGGGCAGCCGNAATTGATATGAAATATTCATTCGACAAATTCCTGAGATTGGTCGAACGTTTATACGAAGACGAAATAAAACAACTCGAAACGACTTTAAGAAGTGTTGAACAGATCTGAACTATTTGTTCATTCATGTGAAGAATTTGCGTTATTTTTCTATATTTTAATATTCATTTAGTTTGTTGTTTAAATGATAAATAAAGAAATAAAAACAGTCTATAAAACAAAAATTTATCTAAACCGTGTACTACATTATATTGTTATTGATATATCAGTTATATTGTGATGATATCAAGAAGAAAAAAAAAAGCTGACGGCAAGCTGAACAATGTAATAATGTGTGTCAATCTTAAATCTAGAGTATTAGATTTAGTGGATCTGTACATAAATTTTTCATTTTCAATGAGAAAAAAAAAGATATATTAGAAGGTGTGTATGTAGTACACAGGATCTGTTGTCTGTAGAATCAGAGAGAGAAAATTTTTTGGCACAGATACTATTTCCGCGTACAACACATTTTATGTTATTTTTCGACATTGTTTATCAAATCATTTGTAAATCAATTAAGAATGAACAATTAAAAAAGTAACAAACTCCATGCTAACAGAATTTTTCAAGTAATTGTAGCCAAAGGGGGTAAAACCAAATATTAAGTGTTTAAAATATATTTAAAACTTTTATGTAATTTTAAAAAGTGTACCTATACTTTGCTAACAAGTATAAAGTGATAACTTTTAATATATTATCATTAAAAGATAAAGAGCTTGAAAATTATATTTTTGTAATTGTCTCAAAACATATCAAACTGTTTTCTAATAAAAAAATTAAATAAATTTTGAAAAATCACAAAATTTGTGGTATACTTTTGTAACAGACTGTATATCTGGGAGGCAAGATGGCATTCACGTACCTTGTCATAATACTGTAGAAGTAAAGTTGTTCTTTCCCGGCATCTTCTACCGTCGACGGTGTTATACGTCCGTAAATTTTCAGATATACTTTTCCTAGCACCTTTTGGATTTTCATACACATAGGGATTTACAGCCACTACTTCTCTCAACAGAAGTATGTCGTGATAACAAGAAAAACGCATTTGAACTTTCCTAATGTTTCTCGGAGGAAACACAACACTAATTATAGTAAAAAAAAAATTATTATTTAGTGTTATTAAACATCATATAAATACTTTTAAATAGTTTAATTTGTTTATTTACCTTTCCTGGTAACCCTCCGTGCAAAATGCTTCCGCCATTTTTTTCAACTTATTTCCCGTGAGTCAATGCGCGATGTTCACTGAGTCATGTGATGTTATGAACGGGTTCCTCAACGATTTTTACTTGGACTTGAAACATGTAACGTGTACTTCTGCTACCCGTACATGTTTAATGTTTGAACTTGTGCCTCAACCTCTCTATTAACTAAATTCCTGCAGCTAATTATAAATTTATTCACAAAGCAGAAAATTTCTATCATCTATTAAGAATTTGATTATTGTGTGAGATATCCTAATTAATAATTTATTTAATATGGTCGTGAAAATAATTTCATTGATAATTAATGTGTAAAACTTTTTGATTTATGTATTTTTATATATATATAATAATTTAATAAGAATAAAACTTTATCTTTAAGAATACTTTGGATTTTTCTAAAAGTTATGATTATTTATAGATATTTCAAAATCATGTTATTACATCTGTATTACAAATGTGATAATAAATGTTTAAAACCATATTACAAATACATGGTGTTTTTTTTTAAACTGATGGTACTTAGAGACATCTGTAGAGCAATCTAACAGCCGGATTGTCACCAAATTTGGGATAGTGACTAAGGACGACATGGGAAAGAGATTCCGTGAAGAAAAAAATAGTACCACCTAAATTCGCTGTTGTAGCGAAACAGCTAAGAATTTGCATAAAACCCAGCTGCAATTAACAAACATACAAATGAATCAGACAGAGGTTTCAGTGCAATAACGAAAGTTTAATTAATCAGCAAATAACCTTTTCCCTTCTTCAATGTGACCACCGTCCTGCTGGACAACACATTGCATCCTGAACACTGTTCTCTATGGCTGAACATAACATGTCTTCAAGAATGTTCATTACAGTTCGAGAAATGTTGTCCTTCAAGGTCATCAAGTTGGGGACATCACCAAGATAGACCTTGGACTTTAAGTAACCCCACAGGAAAAAGTCACATGGGGTTAGATCTGGGGGTTAGAACCTTCAACGAGTCAGTCGCAAAATCACTAACTGTCTGTGCAGACACCGGTTTCTGCCCTCTACCAGGACAAACTGCTAAGGATCCTGTCTCTTCAAATTTCTTTATCAAAGTCTTTCAATGCATTAATTGATAGAGGACCTCTGCACAGGTTGTTACGGGTTCTAGACTCACAAAGAGCGCTCGATTGATTAAGATAATAAAGTTTCACAAGCAACACATGCTGAGATAATGAAAGATGCATGTTGAACTCTGCTGACGAACAGAATGCATTTCGGACTTTTGTCCTTGTCTTTTAAGTTCAAATTAGGTGGCACTGCTGTTGACCATGTCATTGTGAATTTGGATTTTGAAGTGTTACCAGCATGTTATGCAAATTCTTAGCTGTTTCACTACAGTAGTGCCAAATCCACTTCTACCGGCAAATTTTTTTTTCTTCGCGGAATCTCTTTCCCATGTCGTCCTTAGTCACTATCTCAAATTTGGTGACAATCCGGCTGTTAGCTTGCTCTACAGATGTCTCTGAGTACCGTCAGTTTTAAAAAAACACCCTGTATTTAAAAAGCTTTTTACATCCAGGTTTTGGATTAAGTGCTATTTTGATGTGTGTCTATGTTGATGGATTGAAGATTATAAGAAGCATTAAAATCTAACAATAAAATTTTTCTATCAATACTTACTTTAATCTCATAAAATAAGCATGTTAGTATTGATAATAATATGGGGCCTGAAATTCATGAAGTTATTGTTAAATAAGAAATATTTTGAATTTTTCAAAAAAAGTTTCTACTACTACTAGAGCTTTGTTAACACAATATTGCCATATTTATTGAGTATGACAATAACATTTTCTTCGACTCCTGAGATCACTATTATTATATGAGTTGAAGCTTCTTTCAGCTTTAAGTCATATAATCAATTTTCTTACTGTTGTTAAAATTAGGAAGGAATTAGAAATTTGTAAGTAATATAATAATTAACCCTTTGGTGGGCATGCCTTTTAGAGTTTCATGAGAGGGCATGTTATGGCTATTACACTGCACGTGTAATATGATTTCATATCCTCCAATATTTAATATATATTTTGAAAATAAAAATAATATAACAAAGGAAATTATTCTTAGAAGATTTTATTGAACAAATGCAGTTAAAAATTGATAACTCCACTTCCATCTGTTGCTCATCTTCAGACATGGCACATTTAGTGATTACATGACTGTTTCTTGCAGACATTTTTACCACATTCTTGAATAGATGAATTTAGTACTATTATTTTTATCTTCAATAAAAGAAGTTATCTGTTTAATTAACCAATTGTTTGCAGTCACCATCCTGATTATCTTCTGTAATAGGGGTTGCAAACCAGGGTCCAGATTAAGATTTTAGAGGGTTTAGATAGTGGGAACACATCTATATGTTAATCTATCTATAACATCCTCAGAAACAGAAAGGACGACACTGACATGCTTAGGGTACCAGGAGTTTATAAGATTCCATTGAGAGACAATAGATTGGAATGCAATCTTGAGTACATCAGCACCACCATGTGATCATTCAAAGTAAGGCTTGTGGAACACAAATATGATATCAATAACACTGCCATAGCCAGGTAGCCACAGACAACGACTTTCAAGCCTATCTAGACAAAGCTTCAATTATATGACGATCTAAGCATAATGACCAAATCAAGACACTGGAAGCTCTCGAGATATTTAAATCAGAAAAGAGAAACCATTGCATTAATTTCAAGGAAGAAAGGCAATTATCATATGCGTGGAAATCTTTATACCTAGAGGAACAGTCAATTTAAAACTTATTTTAAAAATTTAAAAGATTCTTATTAGTAGTTTTTCAAATAATCTTAAGAACGTTCTATTTCCGCATTCCATTTGAAAACATTTTAACCTGAAGATCTCCTGTGCAGATCAAAAATGTTTGTTTGCATTAAAATATCCTGGAATTTTTTAAGGTTCAGAGATGTGCTGCTTTTTAATGAAAATAATTAAAAGTATTTCTCCCTTTACTATAAATGAATTTATTTTTAATGCAGAATAGAGAAATAAGATTCTTGCTCTGTAGAAGTTAATGTTTTATACATAATTTAAAGTCAATATTTTGTTTCTACAATTAGTATATTTACTTTACATATAATGTGTTAATGTCACTATCAGTGATTGTATTTTCTTTTATATAAAAATTAAGCAGTTAATGATATCAGAATTTAACAAGCAAAAGAATTTTCATCTATGATTCTTATATATTACCATCTTTCATTTTTCAAAGTGTATTATATTAAACTTCTTTCAAATATAACGTTTTGAATTCATCTAATCAATATTTTAAAATTAAAAAAAAAAATTTTTTTTAAATAAATAAAAATATTCCATTTTAATTTATATATAATTATATTTTAGGCTTGGATTGGAAGCAAAGCTTTTAGCACAAATAATTAATTCTAGTTCTGGTAGATGTTGGTCTAGTGAAGTATATAACCCTGTCCCTGGAGTAATAGAAACAGTTCCTTCTAGTAATAATTATGAAGGAGGCTTTAGTACATCACTTATGACAAAGGTAAGCAAATTTTTTAAAAATTTAGAAAGAAAACAAAATTTATATAATGTATACAACTTTCATTTGTGTACATAATAAACTTAATGCTGTTTAATGTTTTATGTTTCAAGTAATAATAATAATTTATAAACAAAATAGTTAAATATTGATAATATTGTGTATCAGAGAATGTGTCAAATAGATAACATAAATCAGGGTATATCAAACCTTGCAGATTTATAGAATAAATGAAATAAAATAGTAGTACAGTAGAGTTCCACAAACTCCACTTAATGTTGACTGAGAAGATAAGTTTTATAGGTAGTGATGATGTTAGTCTAAATAGCTGAATTTTCATGAAGATATTATATGTTCAAATTTATATACCTACATACCAATATTGACTATTAATACTTGTACTTAAATTTTAATTAAAAAACTATTGGCTCTTCAGTGGCTATATTTGAGTTAATGACATTTGCATCGTGGCAGTGCACTCTGGGAAAGGGGTTATATTTTTTGTTAACACCAGGAATCAATGCCATTGTTGAGTATTGCCAGTGAAGAATGATAACTTATTTGATCCTACTGTTAATCGAATTTTTACCTCTAACTTATGTGTGTGTGTTTTTTTTTTTTTTTTCTTTTTGTTGTGAAGACATAATGAGTTTTATGGAATGTTTCATTGTTGAGTCAAATTTCTGGGACTGTACTGTAATTGATAATTTTTAAAATTATTATTGGGCACATTGCCTGGTAAAGTGGCTTTAATACAGCTAGATAAGCAAGTCAATGACATAGCTTGTTGTATTTGATATGGACTATATATGAAAAGAATATTCATCACAAATAGCATGTTGTGATAAATATTTTTTTCATAAGATATAATTTAATTAAAATGTCAAGTTATCCTGATTATTTTTGCATATAAAATGTGACATCTTTTGTTAATGAGATATTGTACAGCATATATATAAATACTTGATTTACACATAATATCTGATGTGTTAAAAAATGTTAGGGAAAAATTATTATGGAACATTGTAAAAAAAACTGTAGATAGAATGCACAACAAGATGTCTAACAGGGTTGCCTGTGGTAATTGTAAATTCTCTCTAACATTGTTTAGCACAATTTGAAAATCTGGTGCAGACTCTTTAAAAGTACAGGAGGTTTATTTATGAAGGTTGTCTTTATAGTTCTATGCTTATATTTAAGACTTTAGTTTGTTTATTAAAAACAAGATGTCCATTTTATNGAGCTGTTCCGCGACGAAAACAATGTTGAGCAATGGCAATGTCGAATGGTGACACTCGGTAAGTAATCCTACAATTTTTTGTTTATAGCGTAGTTTATACGGATTATTCCCAAAAAATATATACGTATTTTGGAAATGTTGAGTCGGATTAGTCTAGAATCGATTAATTTTATGGAAGAAAATCTTTCAAACAGCCGTAGTCCGTAAACTTGACACGTGTCGGGTTGTGATTGGAAGGATTCGTAAGATTTCGGATTCCTAGAGAATGGAACGTATCTCTATCTTATAGGGGGGTCGACTGTATTAAGCAGTTTGGCAGATGGCAGACTCGAGTTTTCATCATTTTTTTTTAAACTCTTTGTCCCATGGAGGCTAAGAAAGCCTCCTTTAGAAGGCTCATTATTGGTTTGGCCAGGACCAAAATGGGATAAGGGGTGGTGAGGGACTGGGCCCGACATATCTGGACAGACCACACCCAAAAAACTCCTGGGATTTTTTGATGCATCCAGATTTGATTTCCAGGTTTCCCAGTGATAGGATGCCAACTTAAGCATTCAGCCATCAATTAAATACAATGATTAGAAATTAATTAATTTTAGAATATTCTGGAAGAAAAGATTGGATTGAAGCAGTCTTGAACCCAAACTGCTCAGTAATTATTTAGCTTTAATAGCTTGATAAAAGAATCTGGCTGTTTGTTTAATATTTGTAGTAATTATTGGGTTAGATGTATTTATTATATCTAAGAGTTTATAAAATTTTAACTGTTTCCAAATAATTTTAAGTGTTTTAATTCTTTTTGATTACATCTTAAGGAATAGTAAATTACTGCATATGTATATAACTTAAAAACATAAAAACACAACTATCACTAGAAACATATTAATGCATTAAAGCTAGGTTCACCTTGGCTTACAAACTGTCAGTTCCTTCCCTTTCAGCAACTATTTGACCAATCATCTTCTCACACAGTTTATCTTGTACTAATAATGCAAACATCATTTTGCTTTGACTAGTATCTGTATTATTCCTAGCTTGACATGTGTTAAAAAATGTTAAAGCATTTCAGAATGAAAACTCGGATTTGTCAGGTTGCCAAATTTGTTTGTTCGGGTTCGGACTCCCCTTGTTGGTGACCTTTTTTTTTACCCTCTATTGTGTAACAAGTTTAGGTTCTTGTTAATTATCTAGTTATTTGTAGATCATAACGAAGATGGAAATGAATAATCCCCAATTGCAAGGGGAGAACCTTATCTGTCGTCTGTGACGTATTTGAAAGTTTAAAGTGACGCAAGAAAATTGAAGGGTCGAAAGGTCTAATTTCGACATCCCAGAAAGGGGAAACTGGAGGAAGAAGGGAAATAATGATTGAGAAAAAATAAATATAGAACTATACATACTTATGTATTTAAGAGTATATTAAATGTGTTGTCTTGATAAAAAAAAATTATCGATTCTTTACAATTCACAAAAGAGTAGGCTCTAATACGATTTTGTACTGTTAAGACATATTCATTACCAGTGAATGTCTTATGAGTATTTTCCTAACAATAAAAAAATTACTCTTTTAATTTGTTAAATTTAAAATTAAACTCACCAAGGATCATCATTGGCCTCCCAACCATCTAATTCTTTAAAGCAAACATAACAGCGCACTAGATCCGGTTCATCATCGGTCGGACAGTGATAAAATCCAGCTTCTGCCATCTGTTGTAAAAAGATTACAGGAATAAAGTTAGAGAAAAATAATTTTTTCCTAATATTTACTAAAGGAATTTGTTAAATATTTAGTTATAAATCTGGAAAAATAATGAAAATAAAACAATATTTAAGACTATATTTAGAAAATTTCATTCTCCTGCCATTAGTCTAAATATTCCAATTTCCTTTTGGGAAACATCAAAATTTATGATAGTCCTTATAGCCTACAGATTTATAGAGTTATAATGCAAATTTGCAGTGTTCCCAGAAGTCAAGATACATGTAATATAAGGTTTCTACAGATAATGGCAGGCCAAGATAATCTATGGGAGTATATGTTATCATGTGTGCCGAATCCAAATGTGACCATAAAGTCGATTTCAAAGGACATTTTTGAGGTAATTCATTTGTTTTACTGGTATTTTCACATTTACATATCAAACAAAAGCAGATTCTTACTAATTTTCGTATGGGTTGTACAGTTTTAAAGATATTTTTCGAATAACCTCAAAAATTCTCTTCAAGGTTAACTTTATGGCCACCGTTGTGTTTGGCATGCATTGTAACCAACTCCAATTGTTTATCTTGGCCCAACATCATTCATAGAGACCTTACATCACATGAATCCAGAGTTTTGGAACATCCTGTATAGATGCAATGATATAAGGTTTTACTCATTATAAGCATGCCGTTAAACTCCCAAAAAACAGGTTTTGTCGATCTACATTTACAAATTTTAATTGATGAAAATATAATTCACACACTATTTTATTTAATCACACTCCATTTAAAAATATATTTAATTAAAAGTTTCCTTACTTAAATGCAACATAGAAATTTATAATAAAGATCCTGCATTATCTTTGACAAAAAATAAATAAAAAATGAGTATAAGAACTTTGAATGAATAATCAAGTCATAAATATTAAGATACAAATGTACCATAAGTAGTTAAACTTGTTATAATAACCATACTTAAAACTGTTTAATGGTATTTATGTGGGGGATCAATAAATAACTTTTGATGGTCTGGTACAATAACAAGAAGTTATTTGCTAGAATATGAGATACAGAAAATGATAATCCCATTTATCCTCTACTTTTCAACATAATCGTCACCTCTATCCAAACATTTGTTCCACTGGTGTACTGGCACCTAAAATTTTTTTGTGAAGAAGATTGTATCAAGAGCTTGCAAAATTCACTGCACCTCACTCTCGACATCACTCGTTCTGAAAGCTCTCCCTTGCAGTTTCTTCTTCACTATAGGAAACAAATGAAAATCACTTTGCACCAGGTTGGGGATATAAGGCCAATGCTGCAATTGCTCCCAACACAATTGCTGAAGATATTTTATGTCCTTGGCAGTGTGCTGACACACCTGCACACTGATAACACTTTCACTCAAGAGATTTGGACACTTTTACTTAATGGTTGATTTCATCTTGTGAAAGGTTGCACAGATATTCCACAAGGAGAACTCCCTTGGAATCCCAGAAAACAGTCAAGAAGATATTTCCTGCAGAATTTGTTACTTTAAACCCTTTCAGAGAAACTTGTGCACCTCCTAGAGAAACTATAGTGTGGAGACTCTATAGATGCAACTTCTGATTTAGAGTTGAAGTGGTGGGCCCAGGTCTTGTCTCTTATCACTATCCAGTCCAGCATTTCCATCTTTCTGATAACAAATGAGGTGTTCCAAACACAATCCTATCTGATCATAACAATTCAGAGCTGTGAGCTGGCAAGACACCCACCTTTTAGCCACTTTTCTGTACCCTAATGTCCTATGAATGATGATGTGAAATGTGCCAAAGGAGATTCCCAACTGTTTGGCCACCTCCTGCACTTTGATCCTTTTGTTTTCTTCAATCAAACAATTCATATATTCAGCATTTTCTTTCTCATAAGACAGAATGCTGGCTTGCTGTTCATTGCACAAACTTGTTCACCCATTTGAGAACTCTCAACACCATTTCTGCATGGCCTGTTCAGACATTATGATTCTAATGTCTGAACGATATGTGTTTCTGAACAATATGTGATACTGAATTTAAAATCAAGTTCTTTTTTGATCTTGAAACTTCAACAGAGATCTTTATTTGTATAAAGATGTATATGAAGAACAGTAAAGTTACTAAGGTTAATACAACTATCCCACTAATACCTTTGGCACTTTTAAAGTTTGTACCTCTGATCCTACTAAAAATGCTACTGTATAATAAATTTTATTAGTAGTTCTGCCATATAATGTAACATTTAACTTTTTCCTCTTCCTCCTCCAACTTCCAAATCCCTTAAAAAATAGCTCAAAAAGGCATCAAAATGTTATTAACTAGTAATATTTACAAAATATTCAGAGTTGGTTTGATGCATCTCTCATGTAGAATAGTAATGATAATTGGCAGGCAAGAATCAAGTGTTGCCTGAAGGGGGCGGGAACCCCCTCAAATTAGCTGTGTCTTGTCCCTTTACACCAGGGGTGTCCAACCATTTTGTTTCTCTGGGCCACATTGGAAGAAGTCATTGAGTTTTGGGCCACAAGTATATTTTGGCCCAATCCTTAAATATATAAGTATATTTAAGGATTAACATGTCTAGATTATAGTAATAAGTATTAAAAGTTTACCACAAAAAAGAATATTTTTAAAAATTATTTCTACAGACACTTTCAATTTTTATTTAGAAATAGATAAATTCATTTATTATAAAGGAGACAAAAAAAATTTATTTGAAAAACACAAATATTTGTTTTATTTGGGTCTCTAATTAATAAAAACAACGAAACACCATTTTAAAGTGCATTTTTATTCAACTAATATATTTATAAATAATATGTAGCCCAAAAAGTAACCAATGTGCCAACTGATATTTTTTACATCAAACTAATAAAAGGTAGCCAAATTTGGTGCAAAATAGCCAAATCTTGCAACGCTGAAAGAAATACTAAATAAAGCCGGAGTTGAGACTCAAAGGATTATAGACCCAAATGAGGAGAAAGGAGAGAAAGGACAAAAGATAAAGAAGTGAGGAAGGTTGGAAAATTAAGGGTCCATATTTGCACAACAGAAGGTCTATTTAACCTTTCTCATTACTTTTTATCTTTAGGTCTTTCTCTCCTTTCCCCTCATTTGGGTCTATACTCCTTTGAGAGCCAACTCCATCTTCATTTAGTATACCTTCCTCAATCACACATTTCTATTTTTAAAATATTTCTTTTCCACTCAAAAATAAAATATGTATAAAGGTTTACGGCTTTGCAAAACTTCTTTTTTGAGTTTATACCGTTGAAATAAATAAACAAATAAATAATAAAAAAGTTGTCGGTTTTGTGTACATGTTTATTGGGCTGCATTCGAACTTGCCTTGGGTCACATGCGGCCCGCAGTTTGGACACCCCTGCTTTACACCATATCTGGTCTCATCTTTCATCTATCCTACTGCATTCTCGAGATTTAGGAAGGACAGACAGATAAACAGACAATATTGAGAATTTCATATCCATCACATTATAAACATTGAATAACGTTGCTGAGAGATGGATAAAATTTAAAGTTACGTTTAGATAAATAAACCTATATATTTATATACACACATATACCTAAAAGTAACTCCTACCGTATATCTGATTCACACGCGTAAACTAAATTATCATCATCATTACCTTTTCTGCTGTGCAGGCGCAACCACTTTTAAAACTCCAGTTTTTGAAAGATTTCAGCCGTTCTTCTTCTAAACAATGTTCGAAATCTAAATTTTTAATCAAAGCATCCTCTAAACACATCTCTTCCACTTCCGCCATTATTCAAATTCAAATTTTTAAATTACAACTGCCAAATGACCAAAATATTATTTTTCATAGCCAAATTAACATATTTTTATTTTTATTATCTACTTTTTAGAAATGTACGAATGAATGCGTATATTATTATTATAATTATTATTATAATAAAAATATTAATATTTATATAACTTTATAAATTATAAATATTTTAAGTTGCCTAATGGCGGCAACATTTTCATAAAAACCAATACGAACTAATTCGATTTATTACGTCGATGAATAAAATGTTTATTGTACATTATTTTTAAATGCGAATAATAGGCTTAACTCATAAAATTTCTACACCAAATGAACTTTAAACATAGGGTCTGTGATTGGTTTTGAGTCCGATTTAAGGACTAGCATGTAGCAAAATGGCGTCATATCCACACTGTATATAAACGGGTCGTTGCTAAATTCAGCAGCGCCACAAGAGGCTAAAAGCGAAATTCTTGCTACAGGGTGTACTGTACACGCGACACACATCCAACCTGTAGGCTAATTCCTCCCATACCTTAGTTAACCAGCATTGAAAAACTTTGCCATTTTCCATTAATCGAGACTAGGAATCCAGAAATGTAATGTGGGTCCATTTAAATGCGAAATTCAGCAACGAGTTGCTTAACTTTTCCGGCAACGTTTAAAACTGCGTGTATGGCGCCATCTGTTACGATATTTATTTAAAAACTTTTTACGTTTTTAATTATAAAATGGCAGAAAGCTAAATTTCGAAAGTAGGGATGGGTTTTATAAAAAAAAAAAAAAATTGTAAATGTTAATAACGAGTAAAATCATTAAGTACGACCCTACTCGAGATACGAAACACGACCCCTCCCCCTTTATCTCTCCATTCCCTTGACTTTAAACCATCAAAATTTAATAGAATCAATCTCACTAATAAACAAATCACCCCGCAAAATTTCAGAAATTTTTGACAAAAGGCACGGAAGTTATCAACTTTCTTCAATGAACACTGGCAAGAGAGTATATTTACACCTATTAACATTAAATAACTCGTCGAATGGCGAGATTATTGCAAACTGTACGGACGCCATGTTGTTTCGTCACCGCTGTAGCATTTGATGTTGTAAAATTATTACTCGGATGCCTGAAGCTTCCGCACCGCCGAATTTAGCAACGAACGGAAAGTGCGCGTTACGTTAGTTGTTTTAATACAACTGGTTAAGCAAGCAATGCCATGCCCCGTTTCAAACGAAACAATCCATGTCATTGGTATGCTTCTGCGGCTGTATTAAAGCAGCTTTATCAAGAAATGCGTCCTACGATTCAACGTAGGATCAGCGCTTCAAAGTAGACCTGGTTGCACTCGGGGTTAACTTATTTTTTTGTTCTGCAATTTATTCTACAAAATAAAATAGTAAGATATAATCGTAAAAATAACTCATGAAATCTTGTAGTCAATTACTTTTGCTTTTCTTCAAACCCATAATGGGCTGGCTAAGAGGCTTGCTTAGTGCCCACGGGCAGACAGTTAAAAACTTTCTTAAAATGCCATAACGAATGTTGCATAGTTAAAACTATGTTAAGTGTCATCCTGCGTTTGTAAAGAGGTTAGTTGGATCCTCAAATTTTCAGGATCTGGTCCTAAGGATACTAGCTTAATACCTTAATGATTCATTACGGACATGAATATGGGGTGTCCCAAAAGTTATCATGCAGTGAAAAAGGTTTGAAGTTTTGCATACAATATTGCAGTTTCTTCTATCGCAAATGCTGGAAATATCCCACGGAGGCTCCAAAATCTGGAGTGAGGTTCAGGGAGATCTAGCGGAGATTATGCAATTAACAGATTGTAGTCCAAAAACTAGGACGTACACAAGGAAATGGTGATGCTATCTATTGTAAAGTGGAAATGAAGGACACAACATATGGATCTTGCATGCAATGCCATACGTGCTGTATAACTTTGATGTCATTACAAATTTCTCACTGTGCAGTAACTTTTCGAACAAACTGTAGAAATCGTGTAAAACTGTGTGCACACTAAGACAGTGTAAAAAATTTTGAATGTAAATGAGCAACAAATTTAACAATAGATAATTCTTTATTGAAAATAATTTCAATTGTTATACAAATATTATTCAAGACAAAATAATTTTCTATTTTTATAAATTCATTTGAAAATTTTCAACAATATTATACAATAAGTAACAACAAATTATTCGAAATTGTTATATTTTACACTGGAAGACTATGTTAAAAACAAATGATATCAAAACAGTTCCTATACGAGACTTGGGAAATGTTTCATATACACGATATTCCGTATCAAATTTCAAAACTTTCCCGGGGTTAGAAGGCTCTAAGTACTTTTATTTATTTTTTTAATTAAAAATATATTTTGATTTGATTCCATAAACAAAAATATTTCATCTTCAGATACCTCTCTTGGAATGATAAGATTTCCCACTAATTTAGATGCAATGTTTGTGACCTATTTTCCGCTCCAAATAAACATTTTACATCTATTCAAATTGGGGCTGCCATTATCTCTAATTTATAAATATAAAATAAGGAAATGTATGGTTAAAGTATTTATCTGCTAGGATAATTGGGAGAGCCCAGACTGGGAGTCGGAGATGAGGAATTTGTATTGCTTTCGTTGCTCGACGGTAGAATGCTCTCCACAGTTGGTAACATCTTTGCCCATAATGTTGCTATCTGCAAGAACATTTAATTACAAGGATTAAAATTGTGACCTTTATAACAGTTAAAGGTCATATTTTTTATCTTCATTACATGGACTGATAGATGAGAGCAGATATAACAAAGGCTAACATTAATAGCAATTGAATTACAGTAGAGCCTCGATTATTCGACCCCTCAATTAACCGACCGTCCTAGTCGGCAAATTTCAAATGTCCGCTAGTGATGTGGCGCTACAATATTTGGCTACGTCTTGGCTACTTTAATATTATTTTTATGTGTTTTAGCTGGCAACACTCATTCGACCATGAAAGGGAGCCAGTATTTAAACGAGGCTTAATTTTCTAATTTTTAACGATACAATAGCGACGATCATTATTTTAAAAAATTTTTGTTAGGTTTAACATCGATGAAAATTCAATGCGAAGTAGGTTAATAGCGATATACTAATATACTAATTACATGGGTTATAATAATATACTACACTAATAAAGGATTTTTTCATACTTTTTGGTTATCCGACCAACCCCAGTCCCCAATTGAGTCAGATAATCGAGGCTCTACTGTAATTTGCATTAAGTGAAAGTGTTCAATTACAAATGTGTATGTTCAAGAATGTTTTTTGAGCAGGAACAAATTGAGAAACAAAGTTTCAGAAACTGAAATTACCATAATTATGTTAATTATTATCCGAGAAAGGTGCAACGTAAACCACTCAATAGATTAACTGCCCAAGTTTCATCTACCATCTGCATTTGCACATCTTGTCATCTACTACCTCTAAGGAGGACTGTAAACAAAAAATGGTGACTCTTCGGTAGAGAAGTCGTTTCACATTCTGCAGTTCACAAAGTCAGAGTTGCTTGTCATCTGCAGGAACCACACAATTTCAGCTGCCATAGGAAGAGTGACGACAGATATGTTATAGTAAGCATAGGAAGAATTTGATTATTGGTCGGATATTCTGACACAAGGTGCACGCATTGAGAAATCATAATGAGCAAATATACATTAAAATCATCCATGTTTCATATTACAACATTCTCAAATAATAATTCACATAACTGCAATAATTTAAACTGATAACATTCTGAATGATCCTGTATTATTTTTGTCTTATTCAATGGGCTGCAGTTTTTCTGATTAAGAGTTACGAAAAGCTTCACTTCAGTCACTAGATGCTAATTTCTGATCTAATTTTAATATGATTAGCAAATGACGCGAGTTTTATCAGTCTCATCAGTAAACATTTTCAAGTATTATATTTTAATATGCTTAAAAATCTACTTACCTGATTGCAACAACTCGATTCAATTTTCACAAGCGACTGTATAACGTGCAAAAGGATGCTCATATATACATGAATCATTTGAGTTTCCATGTGTGTACAGTGTAGAAAAAAATACGTTCGGTTTTCAATTTGCTGAGCTTGCGTAATGGCATCCTGTTTGGAATATTTGATAAAATGAAACATTAGAAAAAATATTAAATTAAAAATATGAATATGCCAATGTGATACATGTTAGATAATGATATTTTTTACAATCTTTTGTATTAATACTTATTAATAAAACTTAAAATGAAGTTTGTCAATGGATAACAGAAAAAATTATTGTAATATTCCCAAAATTACAACAATTGGCATTTTAATTAATAAGGATGTAAATACTTTTATTTTTCTTTAAACTTCTCGCAGAGAAGTCTAATTAAAGCCATTTTTAAATTTATTAAATAAATTTTAGAAAATACACTTAGAAAATACAGGTAACCCCCATATAACACGGCACTTCTATAGCACGGATTCTCTCTAACACGGTTCAAGAATTGGGAACATCCCCCGTATAACACAGTGGTTTATAGCATGGGTTCACTCTAACACGGTTTGGGAATTGGGTAAAACCCTCGTACAACAAAATGTAATAAAGGGTGTGTTCTTTTATACTTCCGCATAACTCCGCGCAAACATTCTAATTGTTTTCGTGGTTACTTTGAATGCTCTTTCAACAAATAATCCATTTAATGGTTATATTTTACAATTGGAACCCTTCTTTTGCCTCTAAAAGCTCATTTTAGAATTATAGATTCCTCCATCATGATACTATCGATAGTTTGGGCACCTCCATCTTTCTTTTACCATCGTTCCTAAATACCTACAACAGCAGCACACTCCCGTTGCAGAGCGACCACTATTAACGAACACACTCAAAAACTGTTACCAGTTGATGATGCTCATGCTGAGATCATCATATAGGATGAATCCTCTGGTAAAATATTTACTTAAATAATAAAGAAGTATTTTACCTATGAAAAAAAATGAATAATAAATCCAATTTAAATAAGGATTTAACAGCATGTTTTTTAATTTTTGGAACCTAACCCCCCTTTTCGCACTAGTTCTTTGTTCTGTATAACACAGATTCGCATAACACGGCATTTTTTTGGAATGTAACTCTCATGTTATAAGGGGGTTACCTGTAGTTTGAAACTTGTAAGGAACTTTAACACTTACAAATGAATTTACACCTAACAATATTCATCAAATGTCAGAATTATTTCTATGTTTTGGCAGAAAATTGATTTTAATGAAATTAATTATTATTATTAATTTATAAAATTTATTTAAAAATTTTTATAAATTTACAGGAGGAGGAGCTTGTACAGATCCCTGTCTTCTGATAACCCGATTCATTGCTTTTTGATGATCCGGTATGACACTGTTTTCATTTCTGTCACACATATCCTAAAATTCAATTTTAATCATCATTAAAGAAATACATAAAATCTGTAAGAGAGACCAAAATCATACCCTGTATGCGCAAAGAAGATCCAAAAAGAGATTCAGTTCTTCTACTAATGTTTCTTCTTCCTGTTGAGACTAAAATAATAACTTTTAAATCAACAATGCTCCTATAATATCTATTATTTGATTAATTTTATTTTTAAGCTAAACAAAGCATTTAAATAATTATTTTTGAAAATAAATATTTGATATGTTTAGACATTTTTAAATTTACATTTTAATATGATTTATTGCTGGATTCAATAGTCTTATCATCGTAAAAATAGCCACACGATGAGTAGTTATAACAAATTGATCAAATCAATAGTCTATTCACTCATAAAAGGCACATGCCATTTTTACAGATAGTAATTTTTCATATTTTAGAAAGTAAAAGACTACACTGTTTAAAAACAAATATATCAAATATAAAAAATAGAATTCTGCCTAACTAGACATTAATAGCACTTACAAATGCTTTGACTTTTATGAGAAAGAATTGCAGAATGGCTGTGGAGTTTTTGCACAGTATAAAAGTACATCAATATAATTTATTTTTGTAAATAAAATATTTATTCATTTTACTTTAAAATTATCAAATGGCATTGTTTCTTTGTAATATTAAAAGATAAAAGAATTTTATTTTTGAGATAAAAATAATATTAAGGTTTTCAGTAGCTGATTAATAGTGAATTGAACTTTGGTACAAGCATTATATATTGTCTTATATTCATATTAAATTATATATTTTAATTTGAATTTGTGTGAGTTCATGTTGATATAAAAGTCCTAGTTGAAAAGAAGGTCCAAGCAGACAAGTTATACTTAATAGATATATTAAGTTAAGTTAAATATCATTTCTTGTAATATAAAGAGCTTATCAGCAGGTATAAATTAAATTTCATGTTAGTTTACAATTACAGTGATTACTTTTCCTAAATCAAATTTGTCTTATTCATGTTTTGTTTAAAAATAACATAGATGTTTCATAAATCTGTAGAAATGTTTCTAAGTACAAATTGTTTAAACAACAATAGAACTCTAAAATGCAAACATTTCTAAATAGAGCCACTTCTCAATGATCGATCTGTTTAACTACTACTCAGACTTACGATAAGCTCTCCAGCATGGGGAATTCTCCTTATTAATCTTAGTCTAGTTCCTGCAGTCAATCAGTATTCACTACATTAAACATTTGCTATCTCCAAAACTACATATTTCATTTATAAGCATGTACTTTATTGTGCATTTGAAAGATTTGATTACTAAAATATTAATCTGAATGTTTTTTTTTTATGAATGAACTTTAATTTTTTGGTGCATCATTTTTATAATTTTTTTGTTATTTTATTTTTATGTCCTGTAAAATGTAAGAGAGGCAAATAGTAGACATTCTATTCAATTACTTTCAGCAGTTAAATGGTGTTTTACTGAGTGTTTAACTTGGTGATATTGAATATATTATCTGAAAAATCTGAAATCTCTAAACAGCCAAATAATTCAGTCTCTAAAAGACAACAAAGTTCAATCCCAAGGTCTCATATGTCAACTCACCATTAAATAATTTAAACACCATCCATCTATCTTTAATTTTTTTAATTAATTTACTCTGCATCATTTTAAATAACAGTACAGTAGAGCCTCGAAAACTCAGCCTCATGTGGACCGAAGGGTGGCCGAGTTTGTGAAAATGCCGGTTTATCGGGAATGGGGTTAAAAAAACTAAGTATGAGTGTTTCCTCAGAAAATACTGTACTGTATTTGTATGTATTGTTTACTTGAGAATACAACAGAGAATAAACTGCCCAAATACCCTTAAACAAAGGAAAAGTGCGTCCTTTATGAAGGCATAGAGCCTTTACTACATGAAAATGAAAATTAATGAATACACTGTGTACAGTAATTTACCTGATAAGACAGACCTCAGAAAAATACTTTATGAGGCATAAAGCTGTCTATAATGAAAATTAACTAACTAAGGATTTTTTTGCCCTGCCAGGGTATGGCCGAGTTATCCGGAGTGCTGGGTTATCGAGTGCCGAGTTTTCGAGAGTCTACTGTATTTTCATGTTGTCTTATTACTGATTATTCTTTATTAGATTTTCAAATTATTGTTTATAGTTATTTAATCATTTAAAAAAAATTATTATAAACTGCAACACTTATGAAGGTCAAAGTGGCATAAAACAGATTGGATTGCCAAATGCATAATCAAAGATAGATTTCTAAGTAATAATACAAAAAATATACTTAGAGCATTATAAAAGAATGCAAAACTTCCAGTGATTTGATCACTAAAGACTGGATGTATAATTTAATGTTTTACAGAATATCTGTAGAACAAATTTGACCTTATCACTAATCCCAAAAATAAGTTCTGCTTGTTTCACAAGTTACTTCCACCTAGCAGATAGCTATTGGCCAGTCAGCCAAAAAAATTCTTGTTGCACAGCTGCATTACTGAGAGCAACAGTAAACAAGATGCAGCAGCCAAAAATGAGTAAGTGAAAGCATGGGATGGATTGGAGTGTAGAGGAAATTATGTATTAGTAGATTTGGTGAATACAACCTACAATATTTTAATATAAGTACTTTGTTTAACATGATAATTAATCATTTTTCATCATAAAGTAAGATTTATTTAACTGACAATTAATGTAAAATTGTAGCTTTTTAAATTGAAATCAATTCTTGAAACTTACAATTGTTATACAACATTATAAGATATAAGCTTTCCTTAAAAATAATAGGATGTGCTTTGTTTAAACAGTCTAAATAAAGGTTTCTTACATGAGAGTTGGCAGTCTCATTTTCTTCAATAATCTACAGAATAAATTTGAACAGTCCAAAATTTGCTGATTAACTTATTTGATAGATTATCTCAAAGATTTACACTCTGGCAACATATTGAAGGTAATTCTGTAGTTTAAAGTGTACTTAACCTTGAGATTAAAACTTGTATAACTAGCCCTAAAGTATAATGAATCCCTTAAATATTTATTATATAATCTAGATTTTTGGAATATATTTTACTCGTATAATTTATTACATAAACATATTTTTGTTATATTTGTATATTTTATAATTAAAATTAATCAATCCTTTTAAATTGAAGTCATACCTGCTCCACATAAGCTTTAGAAACAGTTGAAAATAATGGTGAAAGAATAGACACGCCATTTTTTATAGTTTCCCATGTATCGACACCACCTGATCCCCAGTCTGATCCAGGACTTGGACAGTTGGAAAGGGAACTACAAAAAATATTTTTGGAGTATATTTTTATCAATATTTTTAACTATAATAAATAAATAAATTTTGTTACCTAAGCTCCTTTCCAAAAACTAGCATGTCTGTTGCAGCTTCTTCTGATCGTTCTACCATTCTTTCCATGATGTCTCGAAGCTGTCTCACACTGAAATAAACATGTTTCATTTGCTCTCTTACTAGTGGACTCTGTGTCGTCGTATCTAATGGTACAAGTTCCTAAATGACAACAACACACTTAAAAATAATAAAACTAATTAAATTTTTATTCTGAATAACTAGACTTACCTTACAATTGTTTGCTGTGTCACTAATTAAAAATTCATCTGGCTGTCCTCTGAATTGTTCCCTTAATTTATGCTGTACATCCTAAATAAAAAATAAAATTATATATATATATATATATAGTTGTTATTCATAATACTTTCGGATTTAACATTTCAAATTTTAGAATAAATTTAACTTAACTTACAAAACTCTAATAGGATATTAGTTAATATACCAATGCATAAATATTATAACATTGATAATGAACTGAATAAAATTCCTATTTATCTTTTGATTAAACTGAAAATCTAAAGCAAAACAAGACCATTAGCACCTATTTTATAATTTTCAATACATTTTTGATAAAATGGTCATGACTGATTAAAGCAAATTTCTGTTTTTCTGAAGGACCCAAATACAAATCCAGATCATGTCATTTACACTCACTATCTTCCTTCCAAATTGTTGAAGTTACTCAATGCAATGGAATTGGAAAAGAAAATAATGCCTAGTTTAGTAAAAAATAGAAATTAGAAAAGGAGAGATAAATTTTTTATAACAAAAATTAATCTCTCCTTTTGAGGTGAAACATTAGCAAAACCACTTCTATGTGGCTTGTGTTCATTGTTGAAATTTGATCAAAAAATTTTGATTAAGCTTTGTCAATTTACATATGAGACAAGGAAATTGAAAATGTAATACTTGGGGTTCAAGATTTCCTTTTCAAGGTTGCTAGCCCAAGTGCAAGTAATTTTTTTATTCTTTTTTATGCCAGCGGTGACATCACTGCAACAGTAGCAGCAAGTGATCATTGTAGATGGACATGTTAGTGCTTTGAATCAATTTTTAGTTTGTGTTTGGACAGAAAAAACTGTGCCTAGTTTAAAAACACACTCTTTCTGAGAGGAGAAAGAGCCACAGGTAAACCATCAAAACATTAATCATTTTTAAAAATTATAGAATTAATTGTACATCAACTCACAAAATAATGTAGTACATAGTATCTATTGCATGTTTCATTTTAAAAAATATCTATGGCTTTACTTACTTTTCAGAAATGATCAGATTTTTTTTAAATGAAATTTTATCAAGTTTTAGAATATAAAAACATAAAAATCACTTTTAAATTATTTTAAATAGCTTGTTATTTTACTGGTATTTTGACCATCAGTATTAATTGTGGTATTTAACTTTTTCTTTTAACAAGTATCATAATATGTTTTGAAGAAAATAAATTATCATCATATTGTTTTAAAAGATCTGAATACAAATTCAAAATTTGATAAAATCATCATGCAATGGCATTTCTATTGCAGAAAAATATTAAGTAGAATGATACTGTAAAAATTAAGATCATCAAAATGCACACAAAAAAATTCCCATTCCATAATTACATAACTAATTGCATTTAACAATTAATGTAATAAAAAATTTATCAGAAAAGGAATAAATATAATAATGATCAAAGGTAAACAATACAGAAAATAATCTTCGATGATTTTAATATAAGTAAAACTATGAAATAAATTATTAAAAATATACGAGTTATTTTTATTTATTTTTATTTTATTTTAACCAAACGACCCTATGACCATTGGCCTTTTTCAAGGGTCAAAAAGAACAGAGGAAAAAGAAAACAACAGAATAAAAATACACACAACCAGTCGTAGCTCAATATTTTTACAGCTTATTTAAATTGCCCGTAAGTACTCAAATTTTTGTATTCTTCTTCTAAAGCATTCCAGTTATATATAAGTTGATAGATTGGTGCATCTCGTCCAAAACAGTGCTTAACTTTTAGTAGAATCAATTTATTTTTCCATCGATAGTTGTAGTTAGAAGGACTAAGATATTTTTTTAACTCATCACTTATATAAGATTCTTTCTTGCCCACCTTTATTAGCTTAAAGCTTTCTAGAAAAACTTGTTTTTTATATAAAGCTTTTATTTTATCAATTTTGGTCTGGTTATAAAAAGAAGTGACAGAAGAATCATAAGGTAACTTATAGAATGCTCTTATAAAGTTATTTTGCACAACTTGCAACCTATTCAATACAAAAGAAGAAGCTGTACCCATACTGAAATACCATATCGAAGTTTGGGTTCCATGCAAGCGTGATATAAATGCAAAACAGTCTCAAAATTTAATTTTGTTTTTATTTGATAAACAAATATATTTTGTTTTATTTTCATTTACACTTAAGTTATTATTTTCCATATACTTACTTAATTTAGCCAGCAAAGAATTTATATTATTTTCAACCAATTGAAGATTNAATATAAATGCAAAACAGTCTCAAAATTTAATTTTGTTTTTATTTGATAAACAAATATATTTTGTTTTATTTTCATTTACACTTAAGTTATTATTTTCCATATACTTACTTAATTTAGCCAGCAAAGAATTTATATTATTTTCAACCAATTGTAGATTCCAATCTGCATTAAGTTAAGTTTTATTATAAATTTTCTAATATAATTTTTATATTTTAAATTGATGAGTGGCTGTAGATGTATGCATATATTATACCAGTTTAAACTATCAGATAATAGTAAGCAACTCTTGTTATGTACTGGTAGATAATAGAGTTATTCATTCAAATATTTGACTTGAGAAGACTCAATTTTCTTATAATTAATTGCAAACTGAAAATATCAATTAATAAACTTACCGATCCTACAAATGTAAGGAAGAAATATAATATTTTATCTTCAGAAATTATTGGATGACGAGCTAACAGTAAAAGAAATCTTCTTAATGCCTTTCTTCTGTCTTCGAGAAACTGCGAGTCTGCTATATAACATAAACTAATTAAAATTCTGTAAATTTTCCTCACATTTTATTGTAAATCAGTAACGAAACAATTACCTCCCATCACTTTTTTTGGTGGTAGCTGAGGGATTAGTCTGTAGGGAAATCTTTGTAATAATAATTCGTGAAGTGCAACAAAATCATTATACCTCCTTTGAACAACTGATTTATATCTCTGAAATAAAATTTAAACATGATTGATTGTTAATTAACATTCAACAGTAAGATAAATTACATGCTACTTATTGTTTAAGCACACATTTTTCAATTTGACATTTCTCCTATTCTAAATTTAAACATTAATACAGTCTAAATTTCATAATTAAAAATTTTGTAAGTTGATTAGAATTTGAAATATTTCTCATTATAAATTTACAATATATAACAATATATACTGTACATGTAAATTTAATGCCATCAGTATAAACAATGTCTCATATATATAAATTTTTAAAATTGTTCAACAAAAAAAAAATATGTTTGGAAAAATCAACAACAGATAATCAAAAAGCTATTTTTTTTTTCAATAATTCTCCTCAATAAAAATGCTACAATTTTTATTTTAAAATCATTAAATATATACTAAAAAGCAAAATATAAAAATAAAAGTTTTAGTTGAATAGATGTAATTCTTTTATTCAATACTTCAGAAGATATTTGATATATGCCACAATCAATACAATGTCCTGATTTTTTAAATTTTTCTTATTTTTATTACTAGCGCAGGACGAACACCAGTCCGTACGCATCTGTAGATCATTACTATTCAAGCGAATCATGCTTGTACGGGTTAACTTTTTATGTCAGAATGTATCGTTTTTTAAATCAATTACTTTCACTAGAAAGTCAATTGACCAGAAATTTCAGGAAGTAAAACTTTCTGTAATAAAAGTTGTTTTTTTTTTTTGCAATGAAACATTTGAAAAAAATTTATGTAAAATACGAAGAATATCTTAATTTACCTAATGTAAATATTAGCTCTAATATCTTAAAGCATAGAAAGGTAATGATCAGTATATGGTTATCAATTTTATAAAATAAATAAAATGGTATTTTATTCTTTTATATCTACATATTTTTTGCTATTATTTAGGACTTATTACACCATGTTTCCTTAGGAAACTTAAATTGGCATTTTTTCTCTATTTTTTAGCAACATTAAACTCCAATAAGTACAATTTTAAAGTTACTAAAAAATAAAGAGGGGGGGGAAAAAACAAAGTCAATATTCCTAAGAAAATATGATGTGGTAAGTGCTAAATAATAGCCAAAAATATGTAGCTATAAAAAAATAAAATACAAAGAAGACAAAGGACAAGAAGTTATAATAATAAATAATATGGCTTTAAGCCTTTACATTACAACAGTCTTCCAAAAAGAATGCTACCATTTTAAAATATTGTAATTATGTTAATTATTATCTGAGAATATTGTAACATACATTAAAACATAAGAAAATCTTTGAAGTTTGACATTTGCCCATTATGCTTTCTCAGTGCATGCACCTTGCATCACATGACACACATCTGCCTGATACTTAAATTCTTCCTATGCTGGCGACTGTATATCTGTCGTCACTCCTCCCATGGTAGCCATAATTCTGTAGCTCCTGCACATTACTTATTTTGCACAATGACAAACAATTCCAATTTTGTAAACTGCAGAACACAAAACAACTTCTCTATTGCAGAGTCCCATTTTTTTTGTGACGCTTGAGGAAATAGATTAAAAAAAATGTTTTAATGCAAATGGGAGATAAAACTTGATGGTTACTCTATCAATTGGTGTACATTGCATACTTCTTGGATAATAATTAACGTAATTACAGTAATTTAAAATTGTAGCATTCATTTTGGAAGATCCTGTATTTGCTACGTTCTATCCATATATATTGAATAAATTATGTTTTATTTATAGAGTGATTAGTTTTATGACTCACTAAAGGTGTTCACTAGTACTTTATAATAAAATTATCACCATGATATTTACCTAAAAAGTGACTAACCTGACTAGATACTTCATATTCCACATGTTTCAAGAATAAACCTTTCTTTTCTGGAAGAACGGTTACTTTAATAGTATCCAAAGCACAAATTTCTACATAGTTTAAACCTAATCTAGTAGGATTTTTCTCTCGCCTTAACTGTATGCTGAGTACTCTTAAATCGGTAAGATCTCCGAGCGACGGCTTCGGTAATTCTAATTAAATTTTTAGAAGTTAAATACCAAAGTATTAAATACAAAATTTTAGTCAAAGAGAAAAGATATAAAGAACATACCTTCTCCAGAAAAATTCTGTAAGAGTTTTTCACTTACGGTCTTCCCTTGCTGAGCAAATGCAGTTAAAGCTAATGCTTTGTACAATCCCATTCGCGTCAAATAACCTTGCTTTAAATCTACAAGTTCCCATATCTAAAACACAAAGAAAAAACATTTTAATAGAAAATTAACAAAGATATAAATGTGTATTATACAATAAATAATCGGACTCGTAAACTTAACCAAAGAATTTTATGATCTTTATATATTTTAGATATTATCATCAAACTTTTTATTCTGAAATTGCAACAACATAATACTACAGTTATCATCATTTATAAATTAATATAATTTATGGTGTATATATTTTTATTCACACATTACAAGAATTATAATACAAATGCTTCATGTCCAGTTTAAGTACTGGATCCAATTGAGCCTCAATTTAGCCCCGCCATTTCTCCCTCTAAAAAAATGGCACTAAATCGACCAGGATCGCTAAACTGACTCTCTTCAAATGATAAGAATCATACACAGTTGTGAATTTTACACATATTTGAATCCGAGAGTTTGAAAGTCATGCGAACCAATGATAGCAAGGTTTTCAAAATGCAAAATTGTGCATTTAATAATTTGCCATGGGTTCTCTCTAATTTTTATGGAGAGGATCTGTTTGCACATATTCAACGGTACTTTGAAGGAGTTGATGTATTAAGATTTGATTGATATGTTTTATTCAGTAAAATTTATTATTGTATTATAATGTCATTTTCCTAAATCTGTCCCAAATAACCCATATCTTCATTCTAAGTACTTGGACTTGTAGTGTCTCTTTGCCTTTACTTAAACTTGATGCTAGATCTAAAACTCGAGTTCAAGTCTAAAGTATATTTTAACCCTGTTAAATAGAAATCTTTAGTTGTCAATCTCAAAGAGCTATTATTAAAAAGTACAGAAACAAACCATAATTAATAAGGATAAAATACAACTAGCAGATTTATTCTGGATGTAATTTGCTTAGTTTTATCATCACATCTACAATACCGACATTACAGCTTTACAGAACAGAATTTTTAAGTCAATTTGAGACTTTGCAGTGCGGAAAGTCTAAAACAGCCAAAATTGTAAAAAAGAAACTGTGCGCCAATTCAAAAAATAAATCAAGTGATTTTTCACAAATCCCAAACAGTGGCATTTGTAATTATGAATATGCAAATTATGTTCATTTACTTATTTTATAAAGATTTAAAAGAAAAAAGCAGACGGAAATAGTAAAAAGAATTTCAAATGAAATATTAAGCATATTTACAGTAATCTTTCTAAATATTTAGCTGATTTATTCTGGTTTAAGATATGTTATTTCATATAACAGCAGTTCATTTTGCACATGTTTGAAATGTCGCAAAAAAGTATTTCTACAAACAATTATTTCATAATTATAATTAAAAGAGGTGATAGCAAAATAGGATATAAATTTTAATCCAATATTTGCTAAATGATATGTAAGCCTTTTAAATATAAACAGACAAAAATATTTTATTTGGAATTTCTTAAAAATACACACATTTTTCATTGTTCAAATATATTGTAGATAAGTTCAACGAATGGGAACCAACAGGTAGTATTTAAATAAACAAGGACTCAGACTTGAGTCTCAAAACACACAGTTTCGCCAAATCCTATCTGTATATGTCTAATCACTTCAGAACATCTTAACTTTGTTAACCTTTTCACAAAGAATGTATAATGGATAGCACTCATTAGCATAAAAAAATCATTCAATACACTCCTTTACAATTCAGAGCATTTTATGACAGGTCAATTTCCACAAGTTATGACACGACACTGAACTAATACATTGAATGACGCACGGATCAGACAGAACATCCCAAAGAGCTGCTTTGTTTGTTAAATCTGACACGAGCAGAATGATTTTAGGAATGCATGCAATTGTCTATCACTATCATAATGTCAAGTTGAAGAAATATGATAGGCTTCTAGTCAAACAATGTTAACTTTAGGAACTCAGTGATTAAAATAAACTGACATTTTAAAATGTTCTAGCTACAAAACATTAATATTTAAATTACAAACAATAGTATATTGAATTCTGTAGTCTGCAAACATTAGATATATACGAATTTAATTTGAAATTTCTGTTGTTAAATCAATTCAATATATAGCCATTATCGGCAAACAACTTAACAGCATTATCATTACATAACCAATAATAGTGATAAAAAAAATCTGGAGTAAACGTCAAATAGCAAAGATTAAGAAAATATCGTACTTCAATCATATAATAGAAAAGCAAATATTGTATTATCCATTACTATATCATCAAGGTATTTACAGATTTAATTGTTTAGTTTTGATCAAATAATATATATTTTGATTAAAATTTCAAAGTTAGTTTATATGACATCAAGTTCTGAACTAAAATTTTTTTATTGCAGTAACTTAGATTAAATGAAAAACTTAATATCATTATTACGAACTGTGGAATCCTTCTCAGTACATTAAAAAATTATCATACCATTCAATGTTATTGTTATACGTAGTATTGACTCAACGGTAACTTGTAACCGAGGCAAACCAATTTTTGCCATCTCTGCTTCCCAAACAGTTGCCAAGTGTATACTACTAATGCTAACACTATTTATAAACTATTTTCATCTACATTTACAGGACTTTACTGTATTCTGTTTATTATTTTTTCCTCCTTTTGATTATTTTTGGCTACTTGTTTTCTTGCCCAAGGCACTTGCTTTGTCTGTCAAGTCAGTCCCACACAAAAATTTTAAAGCTTTTTATGCAATTTAATAGCAAGATAAGTCTAAGATATATTTTTCTCATAAAGAAAAATATATCTTTGACTTATCAAAATCATTATTGTTTACATTTATAGATAATTTATAAAGGAAACTATTTAAAAACGAAATTTAACAAGAACTTTTATCTCAAGTTTACATCCTTACATACTAGGAAATTCCTAAAATGATGGTGCATTATAGCTTTGCAGGGCCCAGACAAATTCGAATAGGAGGCCCCACATAAGCATCAACTTTGTATGTTTTTCTCTGGTAGAAGTTTTTCAAAGAATTCCCCAGCACACTCGTTCATTTAACGCAACTGCCAGAGAGTTAATTAAGTTTTGTACCACACCAGTTTGGCAATCTAGGGATATGGCCCAAATTTAAATTTCGACATTCTCATTACAGAGCTTATAAACATCTGATTCGGGGTTCCGGGTAATCATCCTTGGGATAACACGCCACCGACCTTGAGCAGTGCTTTACGTCCAACGATATTTACACACAAAAAAAACTACACTGAATTACATGCAATCTTTTAGTTTGTATAAGTGTATGTAGGTTAAAAGACACAGAAGCTCGTGGCAATTTTACCCTAAAATTGCAGTTATGATTGAGGGACTGGACTCCCCCCTTGGTCTACACCTCAAATAAGGCCCCATTCGGTGCTGCATTTATACCGAAAATTGCGTGTTTAATGCACGTGACCTCGATTTCTACCTGAATTAAAGTTTGTTTTGGTAAGCTTGATTTCACTAACAACTTGATAAACATGTCTTGATCCACATTGTTCTCTTGATTCGGGCATAATATATCGTAAACTTCTCTGTAATAGGGAGGAACCGAACCTATTTTATAAGAAATAATCGTCAGATTATTGTTATAAAGATTAGAAATTAGCCGCTATAATTAACATCTTACCGACGTTCAGATCAGCAGCCATCTTCCGCACGTACGACGAGGAATCTAACTACGCCCCTTAACGATCGCGTGATCCCTCTGGTGGCAGAAATTAATTTCGAAAATTTAAATTATAAATTTCCGCACGTACGACGAGGAATCTAACTACGCCCCTTAACGATCGCGTGATCCCTCTGGTGGCAGAAATTAATTAAGAAAATTTAAATTATAAATTCACTAATCTAATTAAATAACTAATGTATAAGCTTCGTGTATTTACACGTAAGATGTTAAGTAAATATTGAATTGTATTATATATGTATAATCTTAGATGTTTNTGTTTTCCCGATGAAAATGAATAATAATAATAATATAATAATAATAAGTTTCAATAAAAATGATAAAATGTAAATTGAATTTTATTATAACAAGTTTGCTTGAATTTCGTTTCTTCTGAGATCGCAGCAATGCGCAACGGGTAAGCTAGTATAAAATAAATGTAAATGCTGTATTTTGAAAACCTGTTCCAAGATACAATATGATATTTTAAAATGCAATAAATGCTAATATTCTATAAATTATTTTCGACAACCAACAATTGACAGTATTGCCCACTTCCATTGGGGAATTGGAATGGTCACTTTTTAACATGAAGCTGGATAGTGGTACTATTATGTTTAGTTCAGATCACAACTTAGTGTATCCTGACATAAGATACACAATAGTTGCACTATTCATTTCCATACAGTAAGGTTTTTGTCACTGCTCTGTATTTATAAGCATAGTTTTGAAACTATGCTTGTGACTAAATTATTTTCTACTTGAAAAATATTATCATCAAATTTTAAGAATGACAGAGAGAGATGTGATGATGATGATTATGATGACAAAAATAATAAACTTAATGAATTCTTAAGAACAACATTTTTTCATCCTTACTCTTAACTAAATATTACAAGATTTCTGAAAAAAAATCATCCCAACCTGATTATGTTTTAGAATACTACTAAAAGTTTTAGAAAATATAATCTATCTTGTCAAAAAAATATTTCTGTTCAAGTTATTTATTTAGTTCACAATTAAAACACAGAAAAATTTCAATTGATTGATAAACTATTTAACTAAAGATTATCCAACTTTATTATGTTTGTATATTTAAGATTCTTATGTCCAAATCAGTGGCGTACCGTAGTGGGGGCGGCAGGGGCGGCCCGCCCCGAGCGGCACTTTTTAGGGGGCGGCAAAATTTCACAATAAATAATAATAATATCTTGTAAAAATTTGAAACATCCTAAATTCATACTTGCATCGCGCCTACGATAGTACTATCGTTCGGACAGTCCGAGAATCGGCTCCCCGGCGAACTTCTTTTTTTTCTTGCACGATTCATTCGCATTTATATACACCACTAATATCCAATAGAACTATTTTAAAGAGGTCGCTGCAATACCACCAAATTTTTCATTGCTTGTTCTGTGACAAAACTGAATTTTGATCTTTTAAATTGAAATACCTAAATAAGGAGGGCCGAAATTTTCCTCCGCCCCGGNATATTAAACAACTTCCCAAAGTTTCACGGCAATCGGATAAACGGTGTGGTAATGCATGAAGGACACACACACACACACACAGACACACATACATTCATTTTTATATATATAGATAATTTCATTGTGGTTATCTTCCATCTAGACATATGTGAAACCTTGTCTAAACGGAGTATAAGTCAAGGTGCATCACCATTTTTTTTAAAACTCTTTTTGCTCTGTGGGCACTAAGAGGGCCTCTTTAAACAAGCCCATTATGAATTCGGTCAGGCCCACGACTGGGTGGTCGAGTGATGAGGGACGGGTCCCTCCCTACATTTCCGCGACACACCGCCCACGAAAAACTCCTGGAGTTTATCTCTCGGATTCTTCAGAAAATGCGTTTAAGTCCATTAAATAAACTACGTATATAGTGGTTTCTATTCTTTAAATCATGTAAAGTGTATTGAAATGCTCATTATTTATTTTTATCATAATATTTATAATATAAACTCGTGTGTTAGGTCTAGTTTTATTAATTAGGAAATACTTTTAGGCATATAAATAATGATGTAAACATTATAATAATTATAGTATACTCATATAATTAAATTACATTTAATACATTAGCCTAGAAAAAAATAAAATACAATCAAACCTCTAAACAACGGACACTGACGAAAACATAAGAAATAAGTTTTTCGAAGGTTAATTTGTATGCATTTTTATTCTAAAAAAATATTGAAAAAATGGCCGCTATCTAGAAGCGGATATTATGACTGTAATAATTAATTTTTCTGTATTAAATTAAATTGAATCCATTTTATTTCTTACAGTTTGCAGATTGACATTGTTCATTTTTATTGTTTTGTTAATTGTCTTTTTATTGTGTTTAGTTTTTCTAACGGGAGTGATTGAAATTTAGAGATGCGAAAAACAATAATTTCTGATAAGAATACAACAAAACTGAGAAGAAAACCTCCTGCCAACAAGAAGAATACAGCTTCAGTGTCATCTAGAGTTACAGGAACTAGTTCTTGACGATTAATTCCATCGGTCGATACGCATCCCTGCCTTTTCTTGGTCCAATAGTGTTTCTTCCATTTCTTCACCAACCCGCTGTATCTCATCCATTTAATTCTGTAAAGATTTACGAAAATATAACATATATTTAAATAATTTATTCCGTTTCAAATTGAAATTTGATAAAAAGTACTTTTTATTGAATTGCTGCAAAAATGGGCTGTCTTTCTGCAATGCTATAGCCCAATCTGTGTGCAAGATATTAGCTTTGGACACGTAAAATTCGCAAAAGGTATGATTGACGGATGCTTCTATCATTTCGTATTGTAATATTGTCCTCTCGGAGATCCACACGTAACTAGAATTTCGCACGAGATTCATTATTTCTTGGTCTAAGATGTCGCCCGGCACGACATTTTGTTCCATGTTATTCTTCCACACGTCTTTATAAATCCAATTGTCTTCCTGAATTAAACAGTTAATTAGTGTTTACATTACATAAAATCCGCCATTTTAATTTATAAAGGACACGAACCATAAAATAACTGTGCGGAAGCGAACCGTATCTCACAGCCAACTTTGCTGAAGAATACTTAGAGACCATCTCTTTCAGATTATCCACGGGTTTGTCGGTTTTATGAAATGACAAACTGTAAGTCAAATTGCCACTGTAAATTGCTACAAAAATTACCATGCTCAATAACCACGTGCCAACGATAATTCTTCCAGTTATCATAATAGGAAGAGTGTCGCTACCTAAAATACAATGATAAGTTGGATAAGTTAACTTATAGGTCTATATGGGCTAGCCCGAAACGTATCTATCAGCTTAATACTTTATTACAATTGTGAATTAGGGGTATCAAATCTTAGTCAATTATCATTATCAAGAATAAGAAGAAATCATGAAGAATATGCCTAAAAATATGAAGAAACCATCCTAAAATAAACCAAACCTGAAAAGGTTTAGTGTAGTTTAGGATGGTTTTGGTACAGGCACAACAACGCAACACATCGATCATGGGCAATCTGCTAAAGGGCGATGACTCCCGGGAGACTTTATTTGGAAACTGGCCCTTATTTAAGCGTTATACACATGAAGAATACCCGGAAAATTTCACGTGGTCAGTCGGATCGGGTGCGAACCGGTATGCAATGGTTTTATTGCACTCTGGTCTCTATATTCCATACAAGTAGACCTAATCCTTTAGGCTTCTTGAAGATCTGTCGAGGGCAGATTGTACGAAACCAATCCAAAGACTATGAAAGATTTTGAGCCATCTAGCGAGCATGAAATTTTAACTATTTTCAGAGCCGTTCTTCAGTATGATGCCAAACTTTGGGCATCACACTGAAGTCGTGGGCAAACACATAGAACACGTCATAAATAGTTTCAAACGCTATTTTAAATATTTGGGAAATATTTGTATACCTCATCGTTCAGTTGTAATAGTTAAATTTGTTAGATAGGTTTTTAGGCCCCTCTGTAACAAATAAGAATCTTAAAAATTAAACTTATTCACGATTAATTTCTAACCTTGAGTAACCATTATCCGAAAAGTAGCTTCGATTGCCCAATATAATAGGTTTAACACCTCCACTTTTGTATTTTGAAGTAAACAAACATCCAGACAAGTTATGAAAAACAGAGTGAGCGAAATTAATATTGCAGTAAGACCCAAAGCCATCCACATCTGAAACAAAAATTGATGGTAAAATATGGAAGACAACATGCAATTTTTTACGTTATATCCCTAAATTAACCTGTTTGCTGTAGGGTTCGAATAAAATCCAAGCTCGGGTCAAGAAATTCGGTGCCCTGTAAATGAAAGTTAAAGTTTCGTCGAAGAGTTTATGAGTGAAATCGACAGCCGCTGCCCTATCGGGACTCCAAGAAAGATCAGCAACAGCCATATCTGCTCTCTAAAATTAAAATTTTTTTGGTTTATTTTAATGACGATTTAAATAAAATAATCGATAACTCAATTACCTGAGTTGTTAATTCTCCAATTAATCCTTTCCAATCCGCTTTGCTTCCGTTTATTGGAAGCGCGTACATTTTATCCGGTGGATCGTAAACAATGTAACTGTAACATGTTGAAACTTGTAGAGATATTATTATTATTTTTGATATACTGTATTAGCAAATTTCCACTTATTCACCTGAAATTATAATGATCTGCCAAGATGTTTACTGCTTCGAACATGCAACCTTTCCATCTCGGATCGTTTCCGGTTGGTTCCTCTCGAACCGGATAACGCTGAAAATACGAGTTATGCCGATATATTTTCATATTTTTTTTCTTTAAATTTAAATAAAGTAACGCTTTATATTGATTTTGTTATCTGTTTCAAAAAGTTTATGACATTAATAAATGTTTTAATGTTCAATAAGCAAACAACAGCCATGGCCTGATGGCCGTGCGGTTATGGCGGCAGCTTGCCACTCTGGAGGATCCGGGATCGAATCCGAACGGGGATTTTTGAAGTTAGGTCTGTTCGGATATGTTTGGTCCCGAACCATTGTGGGCCTGGACGGAACCCATAACGGATTTGCTAAACAGGCCTTCTTAGTGTCCACAGGATAGAGTTAAAAAAACGACGCCCACAAATGCAGAAAATTGTATTTTGGGCGTCTATATATGAATGGATATGTATTACAATTCAGTTTCATTTTTAAGAATATTTACTTCTTTTTTTGGGACCCTTTTTGTTTTCCGTGGCCACTAAATAAACCTTTCTTTCCATACTCATTCGACCAGGCCCATAATGAGGTCAGACAGATGGCGAGGAACGGGGTCCAAATTGTCGAGATATTTTTCGATCGCACGGGATGCGATCCCGGATTCTCAAGGCCTTAAACTATTTTTGCGAAATTAACTCGACTTACCCCGAGAGAAGTTATATTTAAAGTTCTATTTCTAAAATTCTTGAAGTGAGGATAATAAATGCTATTGTCGTGAAAAAGGTGTAATTTTTGATTCCAATATCCAATTTTACAAAAGAAAATGTCTCCACCTCCAGTAGAATATAATGAATATAGAGTATAAATCTCTTCGATTCCTCCAGTTTCATTTATCTAGAAAATAGATAAGTTATCACACAAAATTTCTTATTCTATTGAGAAGTTATACCTTAATAATAGTTAAAGTTAGCTGCAGTTTAGGGCCTCACCTTTTTACGCGTGTCATTGTTTGGTGGAGAGGAAGAGAGGAAGGGCCTGTTATGTGTTATAGATTAGGGCCACAAATCTAAATCCATCTCTGTAGCTGGTAGTTAAAGCTGGTCGAGGGCAGATTCACATAAGCTAAACAAACTGCATTTTAGGGTCTCGCGTTATTACTTTACAGCTTAAGGCCTAGCCTTTTTTACGTCTGTCATTATTTGATGGACAGGAAGGGCTTGCTATATGTTATAGATTAGGGCCGCAATAAATCTAAATCCATTCCTGTAGCTATTAGTTATGGTCGAGGACAGGTTCACATAATCTAAATGAGATGCAGCTTGGGACCTCCATTATTACTCTATAACTCAGGGCCTCACATTTTTACGTGTACTATTATTTGGTGGACAGAAGGGCTTGCTATATGTTATAGATTAGGGCCACAATAAGTTTAAATCCATCCCTGTAGATAGCAGTTAAGCAAGACACTAGTTACAAGTTACACCTTGATAGTAACTGTAAATTATTTAGAGTATAAAATTTAATTTAGAATTTAATATATTAGAAAATTCTACTTGATTCGGACAAAGAAGCTTATTTTCCTCGTATTCGGCCAATTTCTTCCTTAAAAAGAGTACATTATCGCCCTCTTTTAACTCCAAATTGGGTTTGCCCGTAGTAAACAATGCAGCAAGGAACCATTTTCTTCGAGCGTTGATGACTCGCCTTTTCTATATAAAATTAAAGATTTAATTAATTAATCATTAACTAATTAAAAAATAATACAGTTTATAAATTAAAACACCACTTTAAGTTGTCGGGTGATAATTTCCAGACTTTTTTCCGTTTTTGTTACTAGTAAATATCCATTAAAATCTCGAATAAGTTTCTTCCTGCTCGGGAAATGGCCATATTGTTGGACTCGATCCGCATTTATTACTGTTGTACTTAATCCAACATTGAATAAAGAAGATACCAGCGAGTCGGTAACTGTAAAATATACGTATTTTAATCCGTAAAACTGTAATTTAAAAAAATTATAATAATATAAATCGATAATGCAAGCTGCGGCCCCAACATTTTAATTCTTCAGATCAATTTTTTTGAACTTGGAATGAGAAAATGGCCACCTGCTCGTGTTGATTCGGGATTGATAATGCAATATGTCAATATTGTGATTGTGTAGGATAATTATTATCATTAAAATTGTATCCGTGTGAGGGATGATTGCTCCTTTCTTTTGTTATTTGCAACTGGGTCAAGAGCCGCTCCTTACAAATCTAAATCAAGTTATTAACAAATAATAAGATTGGGTTAAGGAGCCGCCTGTTAATTACGTGTACTATTTAAAAGGGGAAAGGTTCGAACTTGTGGGGTTTTTTTGTGGTATCGGTGACATAAGCAGTCGTATTAAAGTTCTGTAAACATCTCTTTAATGTCGGGGGTCATACGAACTATTGCACACGTAATTGAAGGAGGATTTGCTGAGTGTACGTTGAACAGGGAGGGAGGTGTTACACGTTCACATTGTACGCGTAATTAGAGGGAGTTTTCCAAAAGTACATTGTACACAACAGAGAGAAAGGGAGTCAAAACCGAATCAAAAACTGTACACGTAATTAATGGGCATCCTTTAATATCTATACAAATTTACTACATAGCAACAATTTCCTATCAATGTTTCGCTCTGTTATATAGAACAGAGGGAAAATATGGCGATGAGTTAATAAATGACTCCTAAGATTTTTCCATTTTTTGGACTCGGAGGGTCCCCCCGAGTCCAAAAAATGTTCCCTTGAAACATCGAGAAATGCAAAAAATCCGGGTTTTTTTCTGTATGTATGGATGTTAGTGTGGGAGGGCACGATTTTGTTCATCCTGTTGAAGCTTAATAACTCCTGCGCCTTTTGTCGAAAATTTCTGAAATTTTGCAGGAAGGTTTGTTTATTAGCAAGATTGATTCTATTAATTTTTGGTGGTTAAAGGTCGAGAGGGTGAAGAGATAAAGGGTGTCGTGTGTCGTATCTCCAGTAGGGTCGGATTTAATGACGACTTTACTCGTTATTAAATCCGACTTGTTTATTCACATGACTGCTTATTTAATTTCTATCGAATCATTATCACGTGAAATAATCGAAAATAATTGGCCGTTTTATTGTCTTAAAAGTATTGTTTCCTTTATTTCTTATTCGATTTTCGTTTCCTAGAAGTTTCGTGACTAGTTTCCGTGACGTTTTGTCAGTTTAAACAGGGATAATTTCCGTATTTTCAGGTTAAAGTGGCAAGGAATGTGCACGGAATACGTAATAACAGCACAAACAATACAACTAAATAACAATTATAATATAAACTTAATTAATTAATTACCAAAATAAATTAAATTAAATCTATAAATACCGTTTTCCAGGCCATTTATAATCATAATGTTCTTCCATCCGTTTTTAAGTACGACAGAAATTATTGCTTCTCGAAAATTTATTGTTTCTATATTTAAATACGTAATTAAAATTGAATTTTAAAGTATTGAATACATTTAAAAAATTAAATTAATTACCTTCCTCCATTGTAGAATTCAATTGAAGGTAAGAAGTGATTATGAGTATCCACAATGGGTGCTTCATAATACTTTGCATTCATAATACTTTGTGTTAAGGACGAGCATTGTTTCACTCAGTAAAAGGGAATGTCAAGTGTGCAGTGACAAGATATCGATGTCATCCGTTCTGTAGGAAGAGTGTAGATGTAACACACGCTCCCAAAATCGATGAGAATAATTATAAAAGTAGTTTAAACACCATATAAGTCAGCATTATTCTGTGCAGGGATGGATTAAATTACTTGGGGCACCTAAATAGAGAAATGAAGGCCCTACAGCGACTAACACCCGTGCAAACTCTATTCTAAATTCGTAAAAATGTAACCAGGGACGTCGAGAGATTGTACGGGGCCTTTTATCCATTGTTTATATACACGTAGGTGATGCTCCCGGAAAAACTTTTTATGGATAACTGGCCCTTTTTTTAGGTGTTACGTAGGAAAACTCATGTGGACAGCGAGGTGCAAACCCGCGACCAACTATTAGTGTTTGGTGGTTTCACCAATAGTCGGCCACTGGTGGGCCCTTTCCTTCATTTTTATTTTTTGTTATTAAAATAACAGTAATTGTTACGAGGGTAGGAACTACTACGCGGGCCTCTAAGTTTTGTCCAGGCCCGAGAAAAAGCTCCCTTCTTCTGACGACGGCCCTGAATGTATTTCGTTTCTTGAATCATTCCTTGCTTTATTTTTTCTTTTGTGGAAGCCCTGGGCACGCACCAAGAATATCCACTCGTAAATCCGGTCCAGGCTACTTTCCTTTCCAAGGCCCCATTAATATACTACAAAACACGGCATTAAGAACTGTATTGTATTTTTTTAAATAATAAGATTTGACAAGTTAAGGCCTTAATTCGCAAGAAATGAACTTGATGAATAAATAATTTTAACGAACATTTTTTAGGCCCACTTTGATGCAACCTTTTGGTGTTCATATTCTGTTTTATAAGGGATTATGTAACGCAGATACGTGGGTGGGTAGGTAATCGTTACGATGGGCCACAAGGGGATGGGGTGTTTACAAAAATGTTACGTAATGCTAGGGCCTCAACCCTCGGGTAACACAATAATTAATTTGTTTATGAGGTGTTCCATATCGAACAGTGTACCGTTTACGTCACTTCGTCGTACGAATCGAACGTAATTAATAAAATAACGTAACGCTCGAAACCCCGTACTGTAGGCTATATTGTTCCTCGGTAGAATTAAGGGAAACGCGTTACGTCATTCTGTGGGGATGGATTCGTGCGACGGCGTTACGGGGTGGGATTAGTTGAAAAATATAAAAAGAAACCAGAACTTTTTCGCAAACCGTTCGTAACACGCTTGAGAAAATCAGTGTTGCCGGCAGTTAACTCTAAGGTTAAGTAACGTTACACAATATTCTTTACGTTACGCTCAACATTAACACCGCATTTCTGGCTAGAAAGCCAGAAATGCAGGGACAGGTTAACACACCTGGAGATGTGAAGAAGGCTTACATGTTAATATCTAGGTGTGATAAATCCTAACAGTAAGAAATTTTTTTATCACTTTGGATCAATTTAATATGTAGTTACAATGGAGAGAATTAGATATATGAAGTGAGATATCTCTTGTTGACACACCTAGTCATGCCTAGTGATTTTAAAATGAAATTTCCAAATACTAGAGTTATTATTGATTCTCTAGAATTCAAAATAAGCAAACCAAAAAATCCTGTTACACAGCAGGCTAGGTGGTCATAATATAAAAATGACAACACATTAAAAGCAGTTGTAGGTTGACCACTGGGTGGTCTAACAAGTTTTGTATCAGAAGCATAAAAGAAGTTTATTGGTGAAGAAATTAGTGTTATTACATTAAACTATTGAAACAAATTAGAAGACTTGTGACCAATAAAAAGGCATTTTAATTATATTTATTTTACATACAAAAATTATACGAGGTATTCTCTTGGTAAAGGATTTATATACTGTATCCCTTATATTGTCTTAGAACTTCATAGGAAATAGTTTTGTTTGTGTCGATTGTTCTTCTAAATTATAGTAATAACCTATTCAGGTACTGGTATAAATTGGTTATAATATATTAGGCTCAGTACATGACCATATTCCAGGGAGAAAAATAATTCATTTTAAAGTTTTCACCTTACGCATTGGTTTAGATAAAAGTGAAAAGAATCAATGACAATTTTACTGATCTTTAGATCTGCTTTCATTAACGAAAAATATGCATTTTGTGAAATTTTACCCTTAAAAATTTCATCAACCTTATCATGTAATAGTCATAAGGACTTGAAATTATAAATGTTTAAATGTAATAATTAACGATAAAAATGTAGATGTAGATTATTTTAACTTACCTTTCTATTAAATCGTCTTTACAACCAGCTAACTTGGCATTATACTTTTTTAATTTCTCCTTTAATTGTACCGTTGTTAACCTTCCTAAATAATATTTTCACTCTTCCATTATTTCAAAGTAAGCTCTCCTTCAAACTTGTTTATAACCGCATTGATATGCACAGCATCTATGTCATGTGATCACTTTTTTCCCCTACTACACCCTCATCTATGTGAACAGACCTCTCTTTACTCTTAGGATTGTTCACCAAAAAGACCTTTTATTCTAATTAAACACTTGCCTAAGTGAATAGCTCTTACTCTGTCCTGAGGTCAGAGTAAGGGCTGTTCTGAGGATAGAGGAAAAAAACTCCTCAGAACAGCCCACTCTGAGGAGTTTTATAAAGTTTATTTTAAATTTTAATACAATTATTTATTAAAATTTTGCTTTGCTAACTCCAATTTGAATTACACTTTATCCTTAGACAGAAATTAATTATTATTCAACTATAACTGAACAAGTGAAACAAATTGCTAAATTTCTGTCCAAGTATAAAGTATAAATTTTATGTCATTTAAATAATTAATTCTTAATTATTATTAAATTCATCTTATTACATAATGAGATAGATTTAAACATAATTAAGAATTAGATATTTTTATAATACTTAAAACAATTAAACAAACATAAATAAATAAGTTAATATGCAAAACTTCCAGCAGCTTTAAAATGTTTCATTTTATATTAAAAATTATGAAGTGTTTATGTAATTAAAATGTATTTATCAATAATTAATGTTTCCTGACATAAAATGGTATCAAGTAGAGTAGTAATTATAATTAAAATGCAAGAGATTAGTCTCTGTTGAGTGTACTTAATTATGCTTCAGTTCTGCTTGCATCAATCTCTAGAAAGGGTAAAGAACATTGCCCGATGAATTGGCTTTAATGCTGCTAGATGAGCAAGCTAATGGTTTGGCCTGTTTCATTTAAAATGGGCTATGTTGTTGGCTTGCATATCTGTTCCAAATGAAATGGGCTGTCATTGGCTGCATTAAAGCCACTTTACCAGGCAACGCACCCAAAAACTACTTCATCCAAGTCAAAATGCAAAACTTTCAGACTTCTCTGTTTTATCTCTTACCCAATGAGGGAAGAAGTTCAAAAAGAAATATCTGTAGTACAGGCAAAATGTCAAAGGTCAAAAGTGAAAATAGTGAAGAGCCTGGAGAAATTGAGTTGCTTTTTACCATTTTGACCCCATTAAAGCAGTTTATGTTTCAGTTGAACTTTTAGCAAGCCAATAAAACACTTATCAGCATGCTTGCGAATGAACAGTTTAATTTAAAAAATAAAAAGATTAAATGATGTAGTATATCTTTGTAAGTGTGTCAGAATGTATACATAATCGACACTGCTTTAAACTGAATTGAGAATTTTACATCTTCCATGAGAAAATATTAATGTAAAAAGGGTAGTCCAAAAGTCAGTTAACTGTTATAAAGTTAAATTGTTCCTTATTCAAATACTTAATCAATTTTTTTTCTTCACTTTTTCATTAATTTTATAAAAGAAAAATATGTTCCCAACTTAATTTACAATCTGTATTTATCTGTATTTACAAGCCCTAAGCTATAACATATAACAGGCCCTTCACCTCTACATAAAAACGTGAGGCCTTTAACTATAGAATTGTAACTGCAATGTGCAGATTGAGCCTTAAATATTTACAGGCCTACCAAGCTAAGACATTTGGGCCACCCTTTATGCACACATCAATATTTGATTAATTCCAAAGTAAACATTATACTCAGTAATTACTTTTCAAAATTTTATTAGACATTCAATTTTAAATTTATTTTTCTAATTAATAAAAAAAAAAAAAATCAAATATTCTGCTAGTTTCATTACAGCAGAAGCTACTCAGGACAAAATATATATATATATATATATATATATGTATATACACAACAAACATTGCATAAAAGCACCATATCGTATCATAATAGAAATGTACAAGAATTTAACATTGTGCATAACTGCGACAGACCAAGTTAACAGTCTCGATCACCTATATTACATTTATATCGGTCCGGATGAAATGGTACGTGCAAGTTTAAACAGCATTTTTTTAATTTACGTTTTTTACTCGTCACACAAAAACCAGACTGTGTTCTTGTAAACTATACTCTTACTAGCACCATTTTGCTTATAAATATTCAAATAAAAAGCAATTAATGATACAGGGTATTGATATGGAATGTGAAAATATCTTGGCACAGGATCAGGAATATTATTATTATTATTATTATTTTTAACAATTCTGCAGAAATCTCTAAGGAATGACTACCAGATACATGAGTTAGCACTGTGATTTTTGAGTTTTGTAATCGAAGCATTAAATATAGTCTTCTGCATTAAATGTTTCGTGTAATTGAGGGTTTAGTGTCTTCGCATTAAGAAACCAACTTTAAAAGTTGTGCTCTATGAGAGTCGAGAAGCGCTTTGCTAATTGTACGTGTGTGTAAGTACTCGTACATCTACGTTTGCCACTGCTCGTATTTTATAACTCTCAAGCGAAGAAATTCCTACTTTAAAAAGTAATTTAGTCTCCGTTCATAATTACGTTAAATGGTCCTTATCGCTATGTAAATTAATTATTACAAAATAATTTATTTATACAAGGGGAATGAAAGTTTACAAAAAAAAAGTACAAGAGTAGCCATTTGTAAAATTATTTGAGAGTTAACATTTAATAGAACTGCTCATCTTTCTTATTAATTAACATTTAATTAATAATATTAACATTAATTAATAAGAAAAATATAATTAAGTAGGTTTAATAAATAATTGAACCATAAAATATTTCGTCACCTCGCATAAGGACACTTTGCGTTACTCAAATGATGCCAAACAATGTTGATGATTGTTGCAATTAACTGATTACATTTAAAATTCATTTAAGCACTTAAATTATTATTTAATTAAATAATTTAACTCCTAAATAAGGACAAATTACCAACTGCTACTAGAATAAAAATGAATGTATTCATTTGGAAGGATATACTTTCACTTATGCATAAGTAAAAGTATTTTATCTTCTCAAGCAAATGCATTCGTTCTTAAGTAACAGTGATGATTTTTCAAGCATTTCTTGTTCTTAAATTATTTATCATGTGCATGAAACTGTGTATAACTCTCAAAAATATTTTAATATATTAATTTTATAATATATATCTGGAAATTGATATCATTGAAGATATTTTAAGTTTAAAAATTAAAAGACAATATATGATTTTAATCCAAAATTACTTGTAATTTGAAAATTAAACATTGTTATTACTGTTATACAAGGAACTTCTTGTGATTCAGTGCATAAATTTAGAAAAAAACAACTGTCTTTTGGTGTTATAAAGGGTTTATAACCTCTTTATAATGGCAAAAGACAATTGCATTTTCTTTACTTTTTCTATGTAATTTTGGCGAGAAGTGCTTTGAGTTCTATATAAATTTAAAATTTTATGTGATAAAAATTATAATTAAAAAAAACTCAATTACACATTATTATTAAATGTAGCATTATATAATAAACAAATTCTCATGCAAATTATTAAACTATGATTATAAAATGAGGATAGTATTTGAAAATTTATTAATTTCAGAGCACAGGGCTTATTTAGCAAATGTAATGCATATTAAACAGAATTCTTACAATTGTTATTCCAAAATTATTGTTAAAACTAATGAAAATATTCTAGATACTTGCTAATCTGGCTATTCCTTGCATGGAGAGGTGCCAGATTAGTGAGAGTGTATAGGCCTAAAGGCAATGAATGACATGACATTTGGTACCAATTCTTTACAGAGACAGGCAGGCAAATAATAAGGCATGACAACATGCAATAGCACAGAAATGAAACCCAAGCAAACAGGAAAACAGGATGAGTGGCATGACTAACATTTTCATACAAATGAAAGCACATGAGCAATCATACAGGGTATGCCAAATAATTAAGAGGCCATATTATTAATCGCCAAATTAGCAAGAGTGTACTGTATTAAACATTTTATCTTGCTACAAATGGGTCTGTTGTTTGTACTTATTTATTACCAAATTAACTAGATTTTCAATCCATTGTTACTTCACAGCTGAATGGCCAAAATGATTAAAGTAGTGGTATGCTGATCCAGGGGATCTACGATCAAATCTATGTGAGCAACTTATCTCAGATATGACCCTTGCCATCTGGCTGCACCACTGTTGGTCTGAAGAAAGTCCCTCTTACAGAGTAGAAAGAGTTAAAGAAAAAAAATGTTATTACTGCTAATAATGTTACTTTATATGGCTTTTACTAGTACAAAATTAAATTCTTTTGTTAAGAATAATACTTATTTAATAATCTTAGATTCTAACATGACAAAGTATTGTCTATCCTATAGGAAAAATAAACCTCTCTATGTATAAGCAATAAAAGCAATACCTTGTGAGATTTGTAAATAATGATCAATGTATTTGTTTTATCCATACAGCACACTCTTGCTAATCCAAACTAATTATTGTATGTAGGTTGTTTGGATTAGTGGGATTATACATAAAGAAAAGGAAATTGTAAAGTACTACTTGCAAGTGCATATATTAATTTTAAAGTTTTGACTTTTTAAAAAATAATCTGTTATTTCTTTTTGTTTTTTGTTTGAAAATTTAATGGAAAAACAAATTAATTTTGATTTAATGAAAGTGCATAGTGTATAAAATAAAAATATTTAACTCCAAAAGAACAATTATTTGAAAATATTCACAGGATGTTAAGTATAAATGCCCAACATAGAATAACAAATGCTAATTTTTTAAGTGCCAAATTATTATTATTTTTGAAACATTCTATAACAAATAACTGAATTATGACAATGCCAAAGATGTATACCAAAAACAATATTTGAGATAAAAATTGAACAGACTGAAATTTAAATATCTTTTAAAACTTTTATATGATGATCTAGTAATAGAAACGCAGATAATACAGATAAGGAAGATCATAATTGCTGGTGCCAAATGCCATTATTCTTGGAAAAACAAATTCTATTCCTTACACCAGTAATATGATTCAAGTTATACAGTATTCTTAATATTTAAGTAATTGTCCAAGTAATTTTATATACCTATTAACATTGGATTGCATGTGATCCTTATATAGAATTTTATTGAGATTCAAAACAAAATATTAATAAAAAATAAATGTTTTCTCTTTTTTCATATTAATTTATCAGTGATTAGATCAATTTAAATATAAATTAAAATCAAAATAATATAAAAATAAATAAATAAATAAAGTGTGTAAATTTTATTTGTAGCTAGACAGAAATCTAGTCTCCAATTCTATGTTGAACTAAAGTGATAATTAAAAATTATAATAAAAATTGATATTATTATTATAATTTTCCACAAAATGTTCCAAAAATATTACATTCATTCATGTGTCTGGTGATAAAAATACAATTTTATCATTAGAAATACATACAAGTCATTAAAAGGAAATGGTTTTAATGCATTCTCACCTAAAAGATTTGCATATTTTTTTCACAATTTTACTCTGAATCTTATTGATTTTCAGTGTCTTTCGAGTAATACCAGCATTGGCACCATTCGATCCCTCGTCAAACATTGTTTTTAATGATATTTTAACTCCATTTTGTTAAAATTAACTTGGTTCTTACAAAGTTTGCATTCATTTTTTTTCTATGTTGTACATATAAAATAAACACAAAATGTATTTATAAATTAATTTTTACATATTTGAAATGTTTGTAAAATTAAAATCTAAAAATTATAATTTAATCATTAATTAAAAATATATACATTGCATGGATACTAAATTTAGAAAGAAAAAGTAATTTTGGATTCATAATGGATTTAATAAATACTATTTATATATATTGAACAATGGATACAAAATAAAATGATAAAGAATTCCCAGATATATAAATAAAATATGCACAATAAAATTTTAAAATGAATCAAAATTAAAATTTCTCTCTGTCGGAAGCAATTTGTTTCCCACTTATGTCAAAGATCAAATTAAAAAAAAGAAGAAAATATCTTTGAAGCTAAGAACATCCCAATTACATTGATCAAAATAAAAATAGTCATTAAATAGAAGTTTTCACAACAGTCATTTACATTACAGGACATCAAAATATTTAATGATTATACATTTTTTCATTCTATGCTACACAATTGAAACATTATTAAAACTACAAACAACGATTACAATTTCATTCGCATTGCAATTCGTTCATCTATGGTCAAGCAGTTATTCACATTATTTGGTCCTCATCAGAATCTCGAGTCACAGACCCTCTTTACAATGTACATTAATTATCTGGTATGTTTAAAAAAGTCTGCGTCACTGTTTGCATCAATATGATAAGCAAATTTAAAACTCTGACTCTTATTTAAACATGTTATCACATTACCTTAAGTAGCAAAATCTATTTTGTCCCAAGTGTGTATATTTAAATCGTTGGGTGAAGTTTTAAAGTCCAGGTCTTCAATTGAAAACAGATCGTGTAGGTCATTATTGTTAGCTAATGTTGATAATAAAGGATCGGGATCGTTTCGATAACTATTGTTGTTATTATTTTGCTGTAAAATGTTATTACTTACACATATATTTGAAGTGGTGGTGGCTGCCGATGTCGAAGGAATCATCACGTCTAACCAATCGGATAATTCGACATCCATATTTACAGTATTGTCTGAAAGAACCACTGGATTGCCATTTTCTTCCAACATGTTTTGCTCATTATTGCCAACTGATTGCATTTGATTTGATTCCAATTTCGAAACAGAATTGCCAGTACCTTCTCCAACTAGAACCCCACCTAATTCCATTATTTCTATGTCATCTAAATCCAAATGAAAATCAAAATCTAATGGGGTATTTGCATTATTTTCTTGATCTCCCAATATGGTTGACGGAGGAGATGTCATTGCAACGTGTCCACTTACAAGACTAGGTGCAATGGATTGTAAATTACAAGAACCTGTCGTCTGACTTCCATTACTAGGATAACCAGTTTTAGAAGAAGAAATATTTGATGACGACTTTGGTATTTTAACAGTTTTAATACTGTTTAATAATGGAGGTTCTTGAGCTGCACTAGGTGGCAATTCTAAAATAAAATGAAATATTTTAAATATTTTGTTATAGTAAAATATATGTCAAAATATTTGCAATAAATTTCTCTAAATTATTAAATTTATATATAATTGAGTTTCTGATATTTGAATAACAATTTATTTTCTGATAAAAAGTCTCTTACACCAATCATTGCCAATCTGCAATAAAATCAGGACTGTAATGAACAACAATATAATATAGTATCCTCCCATGTCAAAAGGAGCAGTAGCTATAATAATCCCTAATTGAATTAGGCAACAACATTAAATGCAAAGTTATAAGAGAATGACAAAATAATATAGAATTTTTATAACAGGATTATGAAATATGTACAAAGAGAAACAAACATATGATGACACATATGATGAGAAATAACATCAGATGTTTTGAATTTTGATCCATTGTTAATTAGCTTGCATTCATTTTGAATATCTATATATATAAAAATGAATGCATGTCTGTCTGTCTGTCTCTATGTCCTTCATGCATTACCACACCTTTTATCCAATTGCCATGAAACTTTGGGAAGTTTTTTAATACACTCCCGCAAAGGTTTCTGGCATAGTACATTTATCCTACAATAGATGGTGCGAGTGTATACAAGCATTTCATTGTGAGTTCGATCGATTTCAAATTGTGAAGACCATATCCCCCTCCAAAAAATATCTCTATATATGCATTTGTGAACTGTTATTTACGATATCTGTAATAATTTTTGTTTAATCACTTTATTTCAACTATTTTTTGCTAANTCGAAAATTTAAATTATAAATTTTTTTTAAGTACAGTAACTAAAACCTGTCTAAAACAAAAACTTATCTAAACAAAAAAATATAATAATAAAAAATTAAAAAATTCGGTAACGTACGAATCCGGTTTATGCAGGTTTTTACTGTATATTATTTTGAGGTACGATGTAAGACGGTCGGATGGTCGAGAGGTTAAGGTGGCAGCTTACCGCTGTAGGAACTGGGATCGAAAAAACTTAGGAATTTTTCGGGGGTGCTGTGTAAGGATACGTTGGGGCTGGCCGAGCAGTTAAGGCGGCAGCCTACCGCTCTGGGGGACCCGGGTTCGAATCCGAACGGGTCGAAAAAGCCCCAGGAATTTTTCAGGGGGTGGTCCGTTCGGATATGTCGGACCCTGTCCCTCACCACCCGGCAGCCCCATTGTGGGCCTGCAGAGTCCTAAAAGAGGTCCTCTTAGTGCCCACAGGACAGAAAGAGTTAAAAAAAAAAGTACGTCGAGGCTTGTCCTTCACCACTCGACCGTTCCATTGTGGGCCTGGCGAATCCGTAATAGGCTCGCCAGAAAAGGCCCTCTTGGTGGAGTTTTAAAAGATTATTTTTGCGATTACCTTTAAGTGCCTTGCTTTATGACGTTTTTATATTATATTCATGTTTATTATTTTCAGTTCTTACTTTGCTTTTAACGTTTCTTTTTTTTTTTTTATTTTATTCTACTTTTGCGTCATATTTTTGGTCTAGCGCTATTGCGCAAATGAAATTTTTATTTTCAATAATTTCATTGTGGTTATCTTCCATCTAGACACATGTGAAACCTTGTCTAAACGGAGTATAAGTCAAGGTGCATCACCATTTTTTTTAAAACTCTTTCCGCTCTGTGGGCACTAAGAGAGCCTCTTTAAACAAGCCCATTATGGGNCGATTATAGAACGATTGTAAACGTTTCAGAAAATTGATCAAATTGAAAATAGTTCGTTTGATTTTCGGCAATTCTCTTCAGCGGTAGGTGTTATATAACAATTACTATGGTTATTGAAATATTGGATGTAAATGGGGTTTGCTTGCAAAACCTCCGCTGACGAAGTCGCGGGTAACAGCTAGTAAAGTATAAATTTAAAGAAAAATTCATAAGTGTAAATTTAAAAAATTGTCTCCAAAACACAAAGAAAAAGTCTGAAAATCAAAATATCTGAGAATCTGGATTTTTTAAAATATCAAAACTTCTGTGAATTTGTGGTCTGTTATTTTTCTGCATATTTGGGAAATGTAATTTCAGATTCCTTGATCAGTAATGTTAGGGTACACAAAGTATTGTAGTAACTGATTACATTCATTATAACTACTATATAAAAAACTATTATAATGTATTCAAGTTTATAAAACACAATAATTGTTGTCTGCCTCAATGTTTGACAGCATGCAAACCCTCAATGTAATCCTTATACAAATATTCATCTAACAAAGCATTCTTTCTTTTGTGAATGATTTATGGAATAAAAATAAACAAACACCTTTCTATATTCCAGCACACTTTTAATGCATTGAAAAACGTTTTCGATCGTTTTAATCAATCATCATCAGTTCAAAATTCAAACTATACAACGAACAAAGTATTCGAAAAAATACAAAAAAAAAAAAAAATTCACGTCGCTTATTTACAAATTAACGCTAAAGCGCATCGCATTAAAAGTGTGCTGGAATAGAGAAAGGTGTTTGTTTATTTTTATTTAATATTTCCAGTAAGCATTTAGTTATTTATGGAATAAATTCACACTATAGCAAAAGCACTAACATGATTTACTTGTTTTCTTTTTCTTTGTCTGACTCTTAAATTTAGCCTCAAGAATCAAGAATTTGGAAAGCCAAATATACCCAGTCCTCAAGCAGACCAGATTTTCAGACCTTTACCGAAGTAAATTTCATTCGTCAGAAGGAAATTTACAAGACATTCTGAATTAAATGGTTCATTTGCATCATAATGCATTGTAACCAAGACTTACTAAAGTAATGTTAATTGCACTTAATGGAAGTGTCGTATTATTCAGGTTTTAAATTAATTAAATAATTCAAAAATAAATTACCTCCATTTTTTATTAAGATTTCTAAAACGTCATCGACGGCTTGACTTTTGATGATTCCTTCGTCACCTGATCTGTTACTGGGCTGATTGATAAAATGGGAATTTGTAGTTTGCTAAAATATTGAATTTAAATACTTATTTCTATTTCTTAATCGTAATGATTAATTTGAATTAAAATAATTTAAAATACCTGAGATTTAACTAATTGCTTTGTGGCTTCATTATAATCAGGGGGTGGTTTTGTGATAAATGGAGATTCGTTCAGTTTTTCCTTCTCTGTTTGTTTTGATGCTAGCATATTGTTAAAACCGGACAACGATGAATTTCTGCAAGACAAAAAAATGTTAGATTATAATTTATAAAAAGTATATAAAGATCTCATAACTGTAGAATCAATAATTTTTTTAATTTCAGGTTACAATTTAAAATAAATCTCATTTTACATACTTTATTTATAACAATACATACTAGTCATGGATAATAAATTTAAAATCAAATTTTTGATTAACAAGAGTTTTAGTTTTACCAAGAAAGGTGTCATATTACTATTAAATAATTAACTATAAACTATAAATATATATTTAAACCTAATTTGGGCTTTGCTTACATGGTTGCCTGATGGTTGCTTAAAACAATCTAAAATGATCTTTTGCATTAAATTCACATTTACAAAGCTAGAGTTTTGGTGTTTGGTGAATTTTTTGCTTATATTTATTACACACAAACACACACATATATAATAAATATTTAAAATTGCAATAGCATTATTTCTTTAAATAATTAAATTTTCTTTGACAAATTTTTGTTATTTAAAAAATTATTTATTCATGAGGACTGTTAGAAAATTAAAGTCTGATCACACCTAAAGGCCAAGTATGTAATCCAACTGCGGTTTATTCACTATTATGTCATGCAACTGCTATGATTGCCTGATGGTTGCTACATGGTTTTTGAATGCTTGTTGTTTAGTTTTGTTGTCACGTAACTTTAAAATAAGCAAGATGATCACTAATCCCACTAAGTGTGAGGTTTGATCCATAACAAAATTCTTTCGAGCAAAACATCTGACTGCTACAGAAATTTACTGACAATTGTGTGATGTCTGTGGACCTAATGTGATGAGCAACTCTAAAGTTAGGTAGTGATGCTTTAAATTTAATGAAGATCAAACAAATGTCTGTGATGATGAGGATGCCCCAAAATAATGATGATAACATTGTGAAATAAAAGAAAGTAGAAAATTTGAGAAAACCAGATGTTCACAATTACAAAGCTAAAAATGTATTTTTCTTAATTGTCAAGTCTTGTGCTCCTCAAAATTATAACAAGACTATTGATGAGACAATGCTAATTGATTGACACAAAATCAAAGCAAATAGCTTTGGTGTCAATCAGTCTTTGACGACACATTAGCAAAGATGACTGCTTTTGAAATCATATTGTTGTTTTCAATAAGATGTGGATCTCAGACAAAAACATTGAAAGCAAACAACAATCTATCCAGTGAATGCATTAAGGGAAGTTCTCTGAAACTAAAGAAAATTCAAGGAAATATTTAATTAACCAACTTACAGCCTGGATATTGCATGTGAACAATTATCGTTTATTTCTCCACTTAAAGTTTGAGAAATCTGGGCAAAAAACATTTCCGCACAGATGAAAAGCCAAAACGAGTTGTGGAAGGCCAACGTATTTGTGGGCAGAAAACTTCATTGACAATAACATCAAAAAACTTGTGCTCCACCATGAAAAATAAATTGAAAATCATGATGATTATGTGGAAAAACAGATAAGATTACCTTATTACCATGTAATACAAGTAAGATATTCCTATGGTGTTTCGTATCTGTTTTACTACAAATTGGATCTTATTTTCCTAATGACCCCGTAATTACAAAATTTATAGATAACAATTAAGTTAGCATTAAAGCCTTATCCAAACACAACTCCCAAGAAAAGAATAATTTAAATATTGTTTAAAGATTTCTTATAGTAATTAAAGTAAAAAGAATGCTAAAGATAGAGATGCTACTAAAAGAAAAAGAGAATTATACAAAATACTTTTGTGCTGGGATATGCATTGCAATTCATGTTTCTAATACAACAGCACTGGTTGTATTACAGAAATTGACATATTCTGGTGGAATAACAATAAATATGTGTTTGGTTAGCACAATGTTGCTGTTGAGAACGTATCATACAGGAACACTTTAAGAGGAAAAAGGGTTGCTTTTTCCTCTTAAAGTGTTCCTGTATGATACGTTCTCAACAGCAACATTGTGCTAACCAAACACATATAATAGAGAACAACAAGCAACCTTGATTCAACAATAAATATGTTTGCAAAAAAGAATCCTATCAAAATAAATGATCCTACTCGACAGATCAGTTAAGCATGCTTGTAACTATTGTTGATATGTACTTTTTAACTTAAAAAAAATAAATAATATTTATACTACACCTAAATAACCTAAAATACTATATATAAAGGTGACTTCACGTATTCAGTATTTGCCAATTGCCGAATAATTGCCTATTCGTCTCCCCTTTGATTTGGCACAATATTACTGACAAGGAGTGGAAAATGGCAAATACTGAATATTAGCTGGGAGTAAACTGCCTGTACTATTTGGTATTGGCCAAATGTTTGTTTGGCATTTGGCAAATACTGAACCACTTTAATTGGACCTTTAAAGAATATTAATGTAGATGTATTATAAAATATTTTTAGAATTCTACAGAATTAAACTTTTAATACCTTTTGTGATTTATGCCATTTGGATACGAATCGGCGGCTTTTGGAGATGGAGAAGAATTTCGTATGAGATTCGAAAGAGGCTGCATATTTGCCTGTTTTGAATTGTATTCGATTTGATCCACGTTCGGCTGAGCCGTTAAAACTCTAGCTGGAATGGATACCACTGGTTGACTCGTGGCAACTTGTGAAATTACTGGACTAGATATGCTCACGTTTGTTATGGGTACTAGAGAATGCTGGTTATGTAAAAATGCTGCCAGATTAGCCTTTACGGCAGCCGACGATGGTTGAGAAGATGGTAATACATTTGTGATTCCAGATGTGCCTGAAATATGAAAAGTAATGTCAGTACCAATATAGTTTTGTTTTATATAATATTTTAGAATTAAATCTCTATGATTGTTCATTTTGGATCAAAAATATGTTGAAACCATATAAACTATATAACACGAATAATCTTTAAAGTGCATTCTTGAATATAATTAACATGAGGAAATAGCAATATTTCCAGTATGTTTGCTGTTGTGACAGTCAACAAAATAAAAAATATTAAGCTTCAAAAAAAATTGTATGTTTTAGTTGCCGTAATAATCAAAGGAAGCATAAAATAAATCTATTTAGTAATGTTATTTAAATTACGAAATATCCAAAAATAAATTAATTATAACATAGTTGTAAAATGACATTTCTTATTTCAAAAATATGAAGTTACACAATGCAATATCAGATTCATGATATGGCAATTGTTTCATCTCCTAATAATATACCATATTTACTCAAATAATGTGTGCACTTTTTCCAAAACTTCATGACAAAAAGTAGATATGAGCAGTTAATTCAAAATAAATTTGGTGATAAAACTGGCAAAACCTGGAATACTTCTAGTTACTAAGCATTTCACTTATTTTCCTAGTGGTAAATTTAGTTTATCAACTGGATGAATTTGCTTAATGAAACGGTTGTCTATAGCCAATAGTTACAAGCAATATTATGAAAAACACGCAAACTTCTTATTCAATGAACATTTTTAAATATATCTTGTTTGATTTTGTGTTCTACCAGTAGAACCTGAGGATAGCATTTGTAAAGGTTGAAAATATTTGTTGTTTTAATAAATGTTTTCATTCTTTTAACTGGATTATGGTTTTTAAGTGTTCTTATATTGAATACATCCAGTTTAGGGTATTGTTTATCGTTATACTTTACAAGTTAGTTTACAGCATTGGTCACTTAGCAGCTTTTCAACTTGATTTAAATAAAGCAACATAAAAAAGTCTTACTTTCATTTAGTTAGCAGTTAATTCATTATAACATATATTACTATACAGTAATTTGCAGATAAGGTAACTTTATTGGATGTACAAATACTGTAATTTATTTTTTCCTGGCATTTTCAACTGTTAATAACATATGTACTTGTAAATTGAGCACCATCATATTAAATGCTATAAAACAATAAGGGTGAAGATTGCTAAGTTATTGCATTACTATCATAAATTAGTAAAATTAAACCAATCAAGTTTTTTTAAAGTGGTATCTTGTTAGCCAATATACATTTATATTCTGTGCCAACTGAACATTTTAACAGTGGGCAGAAAAATAATTTCTTACATCAGGATAAATAGATTCTTTACATCAAGTGCAAATACAATATTTAATCTTAATATAAAAATTGAAAACGTTTCTCATATTGTAAAAATTGCTTTTCTAACAAAATTGATTCATTGTTGATTTAATTAATCAGTCGTTGTTGAAAAATCATTGATTTAAATAATATTGCATGTTATCATTAATATAAATGATTATTTCAAACATTAATGTGATAAAATTAGTTCATTTTTCTTCAATTTTTTATTTTTAACACATTAACTGCTACCTGTAATATGATATTTTGCATATTTACTGGCCACAATGAGAAAATTTGACATTTAATATTTTATTATAATATAAATAGAAGGGTCATTATATAACAGTCAGTAGAGTGAAGATAAAAAAAATATATGGACGACGACTGGCAGTCGTATGGCCAAGAACCGGAGACTATAAGACCACGGGTTATTTATATTACAAACCCACTGTAATTACACATGCTCATCTAATTAAAAGTTTTTACATCTGTGTTAAAAGTATTTTACAATTTGTTTGGACTGCACATGTTTTTTCTGTAAAATATATTATTTCGCACTTATATACTTTGATTTTTGTTTTGTAATATTATTTACTTTATATGTGATAAAAAAGAATAATTAAACTATTTTTTTTATATTTTTTTCCTTTTTTTAAACTATTTAATATTAAAAAACACTATCAGATATAAGATAGATTTTTATTAAAAAAAACACTAAGACCATCGGCCATCGAACCACTTCATGAGGCCATACAACAGCTGGCGGTCGGAACCAACTTTATAGATGTCTGCGAGAGGCCACCACTAGGATGTAAAACATCTTATGAAGCCAGGATAATTTAACCTTGAGTGAAACTACATTGGTTATAGTGATGTCAGACAGTCGGATGGCTCTGTATGGCCCTAATTAGTACGACCGCTGAAGTGTAGAATGGCAGTTAACGTGTGTAATCAATTGGGAGAAGTTTGACAAATTTATGATTAACATTTTTTTCACTTTCTGAACATAACAAAAATTCATAAAATTATTATCATTTTACATTGTAAATAATAAATTTTTTGTTTGACTTTGATTTCAGAATTAAGAATACAGGTACTCCTCACTTTACAACCTATCTGCTTAACGACCACTTGCACTTACGCCCAATCAAGTTTCGACCTGCAATTCGTGAAATCCATTTTCTCAGCTTGAGTGTTGATCAGTGGCAACTGGTAACATGCTCACTGAGCATAGTATAGGCTTGCTATGGACTTTTTTAGTCAGTTTGATGTAATTTAAACAATTGCGGGCCATGCCAATGCGCTTAATTTAGATGTTGAAGTGGAAGACATTGCTGAATTAGTGGATTATGCCGACAGAGAGCTAACAAATGAAGATTTAATAGAGTTAGAAGCGATGCAGTATTTGGAAGAGGAAGAAGATGAAAGAACTGAAGAAGTGAAAAAGAAATTCATGGTACATGGGTTAACTGGTGTGTTCTCCAAAATTAATGCAACTATGTTGGAACTTGAGGCTATGGATCCAAATATTAAACATTTTAATAAAGTTGAATGTGGTATAAGTGAACTTTTGAAGTGCTATAGAAATATTTATCAAGAAAAAAAGAAGATTACAATGCAAACCACAGTCACAAGTTTCTTTTCAACTGTTACATCCAAGACCTCTGCCCTTGAAAGTACAACTTTTATTTCATCGTCGTCATCTCCTTTACCTGGAAAAAACCTCTGCAGATCCAGATAACCAAATAAACAAATGATAATATGTACAGTACATACGCATGTCTTTTTATGAATAAATTTGAAGTTTGTTGCATAATTTTTATAATTTTACAATGATCCTATATTCCTGGCTGCAAGCTCCTCGCTTATCGACCAATTTGCTTAACGATGTAGTCGTAGGAATGGAACTCAGTCGTAAAATTAGTAAATGCCAAAATTAGTAATTAGCATAAACAATTATGTTTAAAAAGTTTTGATTTGTTCATACATGTTTGATATCATGTTGCATTTAAAATTCTACATGTGAAAATTTGTTAACTTACTAATGAATGGAAAAATACCGATTTCCTTCTAAAGTCCAAAAAGCGATTAATTTTTTATTATAAAAAATGAATTATTTTTTCGGATAAATGGAAATTAATAACAACACAAATATGACTGTGATTTACATGGCATTATATTTTTGTAATGTATGCATGTAAGTAAATATTTGTACAAAAATCAAACAATTTTAATAAGAATTAGTTTCAATTTGGAATTGCAGTTCTACAAATGCTTAGGTAGTCACCAATAAAAAATTCTCTGGCTTAATTTATGCAGATAACTTAAAATTAATAAATAATGCAAAAATAAAATAAAACTTATAATTTCAATTTGGAATTGCAGTTCTACAAATGCTTAGGTAGTCACCAATAAAAAATTCTCTGGCTTAATTTATGCAGCAAACTTAAAATTAATAAATAAAAATGTATTCTGACAGTTTATGGGTTAATAATTATACTTTCTATTTGCAAAATTTCCTCATCTTTAATACAAAATAAGAAAGAAGTGAATTTTTAAAACATTTGCGGGATTTCCTTTGGATCCCAGGATCCCATTGGAGAAACCCTACTAGTGGTCCTGATTGAAAGTCTCCATAGATACAAAGCCAAAAAATGGACATTTTCTGAGTTATCAAGCATTCAAGATGCAAAAACAGCATAATTCATGCATATGTTTTGAATGAGGGAGAAGCTGCTGCAAGAGTGTTGGGGCATTATGCTTCTCCCAATGTCAGCAAATTCTGCTGANTGATGGTGATGAAGATGATTGATTTTTTTGAGCATTTGGTGGACCCTAAATTAGCAAATTTTTGATAAAAATTATAAAGCTAATTAACATTAATTTTATTTTATAAACATAAAACTTAAAATTAAAGTAACAATAATTACATAATTAACTTCAGAGTATATTATTTTAACATAATGCAGTTAAATTTTTTGATTTAATAACAGCCAACAGATTAATTTTCTGTTGGCTGTTGGACTTAGATTATACTTTTTGTAAAAACAAACAATCTAATAAATAAAATTTTCAGATAGAATTGTTTAATTTATACAATCTATAATATATTCAGGAAGTTTCAGGTAGTTATAGTTACCTTTGAAGTTCTCTTTGCAATTCTTCAATTTTCTTTTGTTGTAATTTAACAATTTCTTCATTTGTAATTGGAGTTGATGCAGTTTCATTTATATCCATTGCTTCCATTATCATACTGGGAGAAGTATCAACTTCCATGGGTGCTACAGAAGAAGGTCGAGAAGTAACTACTTGAGTAACGGACGGTATTTTATAAATACCCAATTTGACATCTTCACAAACGGCATTAGAATTCATTTTAGTAGGTACAGTATTCACAGACATGGGCGAAAATATTTCGGATTCATTTTGTGAGTTGGTTATGGATGGCGTACCGGAGACAGTTGTGACAGAGGTAGTAGCAACGACGGTTGTTGTAACAGAAGAGGGAGTAGTAATGGGCGCAGTTGTTGCTGCAGATGTATCCAGAAAAATACTGCTGATAGTTAAAGGTAAAGAGTTGGTTGAAGATGCCGGAGTTACGGTATCCGATAACGAGGATAACGCTGAATTTGAAATGTCTGAATACGGTTTAAGTCTTTCAATTAATTGCGGCTTTGAACCAGACACAGGTAAGTTTCTTTTTTTCAATTCAGCTTTCAAATCACTCACTAAAAATACAATAAAACAGTTAATTAAGAATTAATTAAAAATTTCACTTTAGTCTTAAAAATTGAAAAATATAATTTGATGTCAAGTTATGTTAAAAAATGTTACTTTACAGTACAGGTAGCCCTCAGTTTACACCACAGTTCCATTCCTACAAAAGCCAGTGCAAATCGAATTCGCATAAAATGAAGCCATATTTACAGTGAGGTATAGGGTTAGGTAGGTTGTACATAAGTGAAAAATAAGCAAATAATTTTGTTTATTAATAAATATAATGCAAAATACATATATTATAAATTTAATTTTTAAAATGTATTTTATAATAAAATAAAGCAAAATGTTTTTACTAAAAAATCTTAAGAAAAACAAATGATATTTCAAAGTTTCGGATCTCTTACATTTTTTGGAAAAAGTATCCATCTTTGTTTAGATTTTTTTCTTTCATTAAGAATTTCAGAATATGGTCAAATGGATGCAATGATGCTCCTTTTTACATTTGCACTTTGCTCCCAATTGTTATCTCTCACCATGACACCTCCTTTATTCTTGTATAGTGGGTACGTAAACATTAGGTATTTTAATATTTTTATTTATTTTAATATTAATTTAATATAAATGTATACATACCCAATAATATTAAACAGAAAAAATAAATTTATTCAATAAAAATCTTTGTTTTAACAAATGTACAATGTTGCGACTCAGTAAATACATCAACACTGAAACAAAAATCAGTCTAGCATAGGGAAAATTGGGGAATTACATACCAAAACGGTGAATTGCACAGCGACGTTATTGTGAATTGGTGTCAGCGTAAACCGAGGGCTACTGCATATTATTGCACAGTGGCTTTATTGTGAATTGGCATAAAAGTAATGCAAATTTTCAGAAATACCTTTCATGTCCTCCAATTTAGAAATGTTTCTTGACTGGATTGCAGAAGATTCTTGATTTATACATTGGTCACTTGATGGAGTATTTATTTGAATACTTCCATTTACAGTTCCTTGGTCCCCATTTGATTTCTAAATAAATAAAAGTTTCATAACAATTAATTTAAATAACAAATTTAAAATAATTTGGACTTATTTTAATAATTCTTTCATTTTTAAAATTTAGTTTCCCAAAAAATAAGTTTAATTAATTAACTATATTTAATATTTTTATTATTCGTTTAGAGAATTCAATCAGTTTACAATTTGTTACTTTTAAATAACTTTTTTGGAAGTCTGATATTATTATGTAAATAATTTTTGGCATTTTAAGCTCTATTTTCAGTCCTAAACTAACACTCAGTAGTGCAAATGGAAAAACACAAAAAATAGATTAATATAACCACTTTTTACTTCATAAAAACAACTTTTACCTTTAAAATAACAGATAATTTACCTGAGTTGCTGGAAGAATAATCTGAGGATACTTTTGTTGCCATTCTAATTGCCACTGCAGAAACAATTGCTGTTGCTGTAATAATAATTCGTAAGAAGTTTCAGCATTCGATGATGATGACGATGATGGTGATGAAGATGATTGATTTTTTTGAGCATTTGGTGGACCCTAAATTAGCAAATTTTTGATAAAAATTATAAAGCTAATTAACATTAATTTTATTTTATAAACATAAAACTTAAAATTAAAGTAACAATAATTACATAATTAACTTCAGAGTATATTATTTTAACATAATGCAGTTAAATTTTTTGATTTAATAACAGCCAACAGATTAATTTTCTGTTGGCTGTTGGACTTAGATTATACTTTTTGTAACAATTTTCCCCAAATGTTGGTTGTAATTTATGCATAGAGATGATGTGATACCAACAAGATCCGATAATTTTCTAACCAATCTGATCCAATAATTGCTTCCATTCATACTCTATGGGTGTTGGTAATAAATAAAAGCCTTAAAACATGTTGGTTTAGAGAATATTCACTTTGACACTAACTATTTAAATTCAAGTATAAAAAATAAAAGTTTACAAATCAAATTACATCTCCTTTCAGATCTGGGCCCCAGGCAACTGCAACTGTCTATTTTTCCTAGGCCTGATTCCAGCTGTGTTTTTAAGAAAAAATTCAAACACACCTTGAATAAATTTATAATAATAGGACAGAAAAATCTCCAGATTGAAAAAATTATTGCCAAATTTTGTTCATACATTCCTAGGCAATTATTAATTAAAAATACATCAGGTCTCCTGCAAAGCAGCACCCCTTACCAAATTGATCCAACAAAAGCAACAACAACCATACATCACGTGACCACCGATGGTGATTCATGTGTGGAGAGGATAAATGCTCTGACTACCACAGATTAATTTTACAGCATGATATGCATTGTTATGTTTGAATGTCTGCAAGGCAAAAGAATGAATGGTTTGTAAAATGAATCAGTTCCAATATATTTAGAACATTTTGAAAGGCCAATATATCATCATCACCAATTATCATCTCTATTTATATATTTATCTTTTGAAAATATTGCATCAATAGAATACAATTTGCACTATTTTTCAGTTATTTGGCATAAATTATTTAAAAAGATGACCATATTTCATTTAATGAATCGTTGTTAAAAAAAATAATAAATTCTGTGATGCATTTAACAAATTATACAAGAATTTTTTTTCGGTAGACAAAAATTAAATTTAAAAAATTTTTATTATTTATATATAAATATCCCAAAGCCCAATGTATTGATACTAATCCAAATTCTCACCAAATTATTTAATAAATTATTAATTTAGATAAGAGATGGCACCTAACATCTACCTATAGTACCAATTACTTGATTTCTAATTAATAATTATAGCATAATAATAGCCCCATTAATTATGGCAAGAGTTTGGATTACTTTTATTACTGTTGGCATTCAATTCAAGTATCTATTAACATGGATTTGAAGAATATACTTTAACCTCAAACATAATAGGAACTATTACTAATCAATTATTACCTTATATTCATGAAATTTTATTGTTCTTGTTTTAGGTTGAGACTTTGATTTAGATTTCTTTCTACTCTTATTAGAACTTGCATTCACTTCTCTATTCAAAGATGATGAAACTCCGCTTATATGATTGGGAATGTGAGACATGCACATATTATTGTTGATACTTTCGTCTTCTTTGTAAGATTTTAGATCTATGGATTCAGGAGAATCTTGCATGGGAGTAGATGCTCCACTGATTTCTAATGAAGGAATACTAAAAGAATACAAATTAAATTCAACTTATAATGAATAATTAAATTTTTATGAATATTTTATGATCAAATTAATATTGTGAATTGGTGTCAGCGTAAACCGAGGGCTACTGCATATTGCACAGTGGCTTTATTGTGAATTGGCATAAAAGTAATGCAAATTTTCAGAAATACCTTTCATGTCCTCCAATTTAGAAATGTTTCTTGACTGGATTGCAGAAGATTCTTGATTTATACATTGGTCACTTGATGGAGTATTTATTTGAATACTTCCATTTACAGTTCCTTGGTCCCCATTTGATTTCTAAATAAATAAAAGTTTCATAACAATTAATTTAAATAACAAATTTAAAATAATTTGGACTTATTTTAATAATTCTTTCATTTTTAAAATTTAGTTTCCCAAAAAATAAGTTTAATTAATTAACTATATTTAATATTTTTATTATTCGTTTAGAGAATTCAATCAGTTTACAATTTGTTACTTTTAAATAACTTTTTTGGAAGTCTGATATTATTATGTAAATAATTTTTGGCATTTTAAGCTCTATTTTCAGTCCTAAACTAACACTCAGTAGTGCAAATGGAAAAACACAAAAAATAGATTAATATAACCACTTTTTACTTCATAAAAACAACTTTTACCTTTAAAATAACAGATAATTTACCTGAGTTGCTGGAAGAATAATCTGAGGATACTTTTGTTGCCATTCTAATTGCCACTGCAGAAACAATTGCTGTTGCTGTAATAATAATTCGTAAGAAGTTTCAGCATTCGATGATGATGACGATGATGGTGATGAAGATGATTGATTTTTTTGAGCATTTGGTGGACCCTAAATTAGCAAATTTTTGATAAAAATTATAAAGCTAATTAACATTAATTTTATTTTATAAACATAAAACTTAAAATTAAAGTAACAATAATTNAATCAATAGTAATGTAATATAATATTTAACAAGTTAATAATTTAGTACAAAATATTACAAAGTAAAATATCACAAAATAAAATATCAAGTAATAATCAGTTTTTGAGAAGCTCGATATGTTAATGTTATCTTTCCAAGCCTTAAACCTTGTTAAGTATTTGTCCCTACTCTCTCTAAATTTTACACAATGAAGAAATACACGTTCCCAAGTTTCATATGCTTGCATAGTACAGTTACTACATATTTTTTCAGGATCTATTGTTAGTCTGCTATTATACATTAAGATATAATTTTGACCACATCTCAAATGAAGGATTAATCATTTAATATAATTCATGTCCATAAGCAAATAATCTTCACACATAAATGTCATTTTAATGTTGCAATATAACTGAAAGTGCTTATTCTTTTCTAACAGAGACCAATCTTCTTGTATACTTTGTTTGTAGCATAGTTTTATAATTAACAATTGATAACATTTGATCAAATGAGGATCCTGAGATAGCCATAGAAAAGAAAAACCAAGTTGATGCAACAGATTTTGCAATGCTGATGCCCAATTGTATGTGCAATCCTTTGTCATTGAACACAATCTGTGAAGTTTATCATACACTAGTTTAACGTAGCTTTTATTGTCTAATTTTAAGAGACGTATTCAAAATAAAATTATTATTTTTACTGTAATTACTGATATTCTAGAGACTCCAAACTCCAATCACAACATGTATGCTGGAATTTTATTGTATAACCTGAAAATTTTTCTAAAATATAAAGCAAGGATAATTTCCAGTTTATCAACATAAGTAATTGCCCATATAGGAGCGGCGTAGAGTAATATGGATGAAATCATTGAATGAAATAATTTTATATAAGTAGAAGCAGAGTTAATTTTTGCTCAAGAAAATAAGCCACATAGAACCTATTGCCATTTTAGCTTTACGTATACAATGATTTTAAGCCTGTAAGAATTGGCCGGAAGACAAAAATAAAACTCCCTGGTAAATGTAACTTGATGCAACTTGTAAAGGTTGGTTGTTTAGAAACCATCTTTCTCTAGATGACATTCAACCTCCCTTCTTGAATACCATTATCTTTGTTTTTGAAACATTTTAGTTAACCAATAATCATGGCAAAATTCCTCTAGAATTACAATTTTCTCTTGTAGCATTAGTGCAGAGTCAGCCAAAATTACAGGCATAAAACATTATAGAAAGAAATGTAGAGATTAACAATAATTTAGAGACTAACAATAAATGCTTTCTTGTAGAGACTAACAATAATTTATATATTTTGTTGTGAATTTCATTAATACTTAAAACATGTTAAAATTTTAAAAGTATATTTTTATTGAATTTATTAAGAAACCAGATTTAATTTCAAAATAACATTTTTAAATTTAACTGTATATTTATAATATAAAAAATGATAATCTTGGTTTTATTAACATGTCTCAATATCTATAGTTGCTCTAATATTATAGATTTGTATACTTTCCTCAAATGACATAAGGAAAATAAACAATGTTAAAGGTTACACTTACGTGTTGTGGCATTATGAACGATGACTGTTTAGAGTTTGGATTAGTGAACCTATCCAAACTCTAAACAGTCACCATTCATAACGCCACAACACGTAAGTGTAACCTTTAATATTGAAAAAGTCAGCATGAAGTGATTATTACATATGATATGGAAAATAAACAAATCTGTACAAAAGAAATCCTAGATTTACCTATTTTGAGATTGATCTGTAGCATCTGGGGGTGAATAAGCACCTTCACTTCCACTGTCTTCTTCAAAAAGAAATCTTGGGGGAGGATGTTTCTGTGTTTGACCTTCGCAAGTCCTCTTGAATGGAATTTGACCCTCTAATATTTTTAAGATAATTTAAAAACCAGAAATAAATATAGTATGCACAATAAAAAAGAATTAATATGTATATAGTAAAACTTTGTTATCCAAAATGGTTTTAAAAATGTAGCATTGTACTGTACATGCCACTGAGTATAATGTACAGAGACCACACTCATCACATAATTGGAAATTACTATGTCATCTATTGATTGTACAAAACTAAGTCATATTCATAACATTACTATTGATTTGAATAAATTAATTTACAGTCAAATACAGTAACTGCATTACAGTATTTATACATCATGAAACTTTAAGTGCAGTGAAATCAAAACACAAAAACAAACGAGTTTCTGAACTATCCAAAATTTTGTTTATTCAAAAGGTCCCTGGTCCCATCGAGTTTGGATAATCAAGTTTTCAAAATTGAGTAAAGACTGACATTTTTTCAAAAGTTTCTTGCAAATCATTTTTATGAAATTTTTGTAAAATTAATTCAGAAGAGAACAGAAAAGTCTTACCTTTTACCGCCTGGGCAAATTTTTCATCAGTCTGAAGGATATTTCCTTTTATGAGTTCCAATGGACCAGGACGATGGGAGAGCCTATCATTTAAGTCATCAGCTAGACGGGCTTTTTTTAATTGCCTCTGCTTGTCTTGAAGACTTGGATCAATTTTTGTATCTACATAAAATCCATCATGATATTATAAAATACATCTTAATTATAAAAGTATTTAATTAATTTATATATTTACTTTGGTTTTGAGAAAAACTAAATTCATTGAAGTAATTTTCATGCATTTCTATACAATATGAATATCAAAGAAAGTATCATTTTCCCTGATTTATTCTCAAAATAACAAATTCAGTTCAGAATCAATTCTTATTCATTTAATAGTAAAATATTTTCCTGATATTCTTATCATCAAAAAAATGCAATTAAAATGAAATAATAAGACATAATAATTCCAAAACACAAATGTATGAGACTTGACATAACTAATACCATACTATACTTTGTTATAAAATAACATATATCTGCTGGAATATGAAAAGTTATTGAAGCTGAAATTAGAATTGACTAATGTCTAATTCTAAAACCCAGATTTTAGTATTTTACTTTATTTTTAATAAAAATATTATTTCTAATTTCCAATTATCCAGTATCATACTGTTACACTTAGTATCAAATTAAAACTAAACATCACACACATAATCTTCCAGCAAATAATACGTATTGGAATCGAATAAAAACAAAATGTTTTTAGCCTCTTTCAGAGCCTGCATAAAGATAAATTGTTACAGAACATTAGCAGAGATTCTAAATGTTCCATTTTTATTTGATTCCAATACATATTATTTGCTGGAAGACTGTGTGTATGGTGTTTAAACAAATTAAAAATTAAAAATAATTCCAGCCTTTGGATACTTGTATGTATGTATAGTATCTTATACAGGTATACCTCGACTTACGTCGTTTCGAGTTACGTCGTTCCCGATTATACGTCATTTGTCAAAAAAGTATATGGAAAAATAAAAATCAAATTTAAGTCATTTTATTTGACTTTATGTCTGTCCGCCACAAATATTGAAGTTGTAATATCACTAGAAAAATGTTTAAAGCACATAAAATCATATTATAATATATACATTTACAACTATATACTGTATTTACAGTACATGCATTCGTAAATTTAAATTACTTTTTTCTGTACTATATTAAAAACTAAAATTTATTTGTTTGTAAGCTTAAAATAGCTTCCTTATTAACCATATATTATTAAAAATGCATTAATAAAAAAAATACAGAACGGGAATTGGTAATTTACGGTTTAGCCTAGTGGCAAGTAGATTCGGAGACAAGTAAATTCGACTTATGTTGTTTTTCGACTTAAGTCGTTCTCCTGGAACCAATTACCGACGTAAGGCGAGGTATATCTGTATAAGTTTTATTGTTTTGTAATTTCTAATCATGTAATTGTAATTTTGCAAATGCACAATTTAAATTGAGAATTAATAAAAGAAACACAAACAACCATGCTTGGAATAAAAACTGTAATAGAGAAAGTGAACTTTCAAGAAAAACTAACATTTAATGCAACATTTATTCTGTAAGCCATTAAAAAATGAAAGAAATAAACTCTCTTTTCCCATAAAAATTTATGAAAAATTAAAACAGAACTTGAGAGTGTTGTGGAAACATAAATTTCCACAATTTTTCAAGCTTTCTGTTTTGATTTCTCAGATTAATTTTCAAAAACACTTGATGAAAGTCAATGAATTAATCTTATAAATTTTTTAAATGAATGTATGTCATTAATATTTTTACCTTCCAAAATATGTTGCTGTATTAACTCCTGTCTATCAGGTCTTCGCTGAATTTTATTTTTTAAAATGTCACCCATCTGAAAAATATATAAAAATTAAATGCTAGAATATTTTTAAGATACTTATTAACTTAAGTAATATTTATTTTAATTAAATTCTCAACATTGCTACTATTAATTGCAGTTTAAATAAAAAAAGTCATTACTTAAGTAACTATTTCATGAAAATATCTTTTCTTCTGAAACTAGAATTTATCAATTTCTCCCTTAACATTTTCATGTGAAATCAAATAATAAAAAATATTATTATTTACTTTTATTGAAAGTAATTAAATTATTAAATATAAACTGTTATAATTGTACAAAAAGTACATTTTGCATAGTTTTTCTTAGAATACTTTCTTCCAGATTTAATTATTTTTCCATTATCATTATAAATTTATTCCAAAATTATAAAATTTATCAACAAATGCTTAAAAAAATTAAAACAACCAAGATAAAATTTTAATGAGTAATGAAAAATATTTTCTATTATGTGGTAGTTAGTATTAAAATCCCAAATATGCAGAATTAAAATTTGTGAAAAAATGTGCTAAATATTTATTACTCTTTGTGAAAAAATAAAAATAATTTATCATCATTTTTTTTAAAGGAAATAAATTTCAGTAAGTACAAAACTGCCAAAAGATTTGAACAATAAAATATACACTTTTGCTATTTTATGGCATTTTTTAAAAAAATAATGTAAAATTTTCTGTTGAAAACATGAAATTTCACAGATTAATTACCCATCATTTTATATATACTTGAAATGTTATTAATATCACAAATATAATGTAAACCTAATTATTATACCATTAAAATTATTCATTTTACATGAAATTCTGTTATAATTATCTACTTTTAATAGAATTCCATGCAAGTTACACTGCCCAAACCTCTAGTCAGACCCCCTGATCAGACTGGAGGCTTAAGCAGCATAATAATGGAAGTTGTGAGTTCAAGTCCTGCTCAGAGCCGATTTTTCTTCCAGAATATTCTAAATTATTTAATAAATATTAATTTAATTATAATTATTAAATTTAATAATAGATGACACATAACATCTCTCTTTAGTGATAAATTATTTAGTAATTAAATATAATCATGGAAAAGTAGCTCAACGTAATCAGGTGTTTGTTGGCTTTACAAATTTATTGAGTTTCATGATGTTTGTTTATGTATATATACAACAGTTTTTGCTTATTAAGAACTTTACATTTATGAGATTAATTAAAAATGAGGGAGTTATTTTGGCATTGACTGGCTGTAACAACCTGTTGCTAAGCTGTTTTGCATATTTTTGCAGATAGATTATATTTACAAAAATTTATTAATATATATTTTTTTTTTGCAATGGTGTGGGCTCGTCACAGTTTGTCACAGGTTATTTATGTTAATTTTGTATGTATGAAATATTGTGTATTAATTATTATGTATGGAATTCCAAGCCAATTCCAGGGAGCTGGTCCTTATAAAGAAAAGACAACTCTTCCTGGGGCTTCCACCAATGTCTCTGAGTTCGTTTGTGTTACCACACTGGTCCCCGAAGGGCCGATCTCTGTGTCTGGGTTCGAGAATACAGTAGAGCATCGATTATCCGACCCCCAATTAACCGTCACATCGGTTAACCGACCGTTCTAGTCGGCAAATTTCAAATGTCCGCTAGTGATGTGGTGCTACAATATTTGGCTATGTCTAGGATACTTTAATATTATTTTTGTTAAATTTTTGCGTGTTTTAGCTAGCAACATGACTCGGCCATTAAAGGGAGGCCAGTATTTAAACGAGACTTAATTTTCTAATTATGAGTGGTTGTTTGTTTTGTGAGCAATAAAATAATTTAAAAATAATTTTTAACGATACAATAGCGATGATTATTATTTTTAAAAAATTTGTTAGGCTAAACATCGATGAAAATTCTACATGAAGTTGGTTAATAGCGATATACTAATATATTAATTACATGGGATATCCTAATATACTATACTAATAATGTATTTCTTTCATTCTTTTCGGTTATCCGATTTTTTCAGTTATCCGACCAACCTCAGTCCCCAATTGAGTCGGATAATCGATGCTCTACTGTATTAACCTGATTCCCTTTTGCTCTCTATGGAACTTTGAGAAAGAATTACCAGCACTGCCATGGCATGCAGAGGAGCTATGCAGGCAGTATCTTCAATTCCAGCAGGAATACAAGGAAGAGATCAAGAAAACGAAAATAGTCCTGGCATGCCTTTTGTTCTGGGGCAGGCAGTGACCCTTTTAGTTTTGTATATAAGCTCAGTACTAACAAGCTAAAGACATTGAATCCCATTAGTAGTGATGATGCTATGTCTGCTGCTGATGATCTCCAGACCATTGTTGACAGGCTCTTTGAAGCCTTCTGCCTCAACGATCCCTGCAAAGATATTACAGAACAGACCAGTATTACGAATCATAACCATGCCAAGAACGAGAGGTTCTTGGCATGGCTCTCAGGTGATGACCCGCCGTTCTCATTTTTGGAAGTGGCTGACATCATTGCCAGGATGCCAAAGAAAAAGACTTTTGACATTGATCAGTTAAAAGCCGATATTATTCAAGAAATCTGTAATACAAAGTTTAACAACTGTAATATCTCTATTCTTTCTGATAGCATTGCTACTGTCCAAATTCTAACCAATAAGGCTACCACACACCCCATTGCAAGAAACATTCTATTTTCTATTGACCAGTCTAGCAATAAATTTTCCATCAAATGGATTAAGAGGTACTGTGGCACTCTGGCAATAAACATGTGGACATGCTTGCACGTACAACAACTATGCTCACGGACATCATTCCAGCATATGATCAACTTCCAGTTTCAAGGCTAAAGCAACTTCTGTGGCATCAAACTGTTGCTAAATGGCAGGAGGAATGGGAATAAACCCCAAAATCACACATCACTCAACAATTCTTTCCGGAGATTACAAGAAGGCTCAACTAGAAGTGGCTTCGCCCTCAGCACTGCAGCTTGCAAGTGCTCACAGAGCATGGGAGGTTTAATGTCTACCTGTATAGGTTTCGACATAGTGATAATGACAGCTGCCCCATCTGTGGGGTGTGTGACTGAGTCAAGCATTATCTGCTGTTGTGCCCATTACTACAGGACATAAGAAATGAACTCAAGCTGCATGTAGATAAAGACAACATTTAATAAATTTATTGACAAAAACAACTTTGACTGGCCATGTAAGCCAGAACACATTGCATCAAGCAAGAAGTACTTTTCTCTCTTTGAAAGGATGGTTAAATTCTATTTCAACAGAACATTAATACACTGATTACTGTTTACTGCTTCAGCTTCAGTATTGCTGAAGATCTCACATGATCTTCTGTTAGCCTACTGCATTCTTTATTGTCGGTTGCTGCACAATATCTGCACACTGTTTTCTTTCTGACTAATGGTTTACATAAGTTATTTGAGCTCCCTAGAAGAGCTTCTTTATGTACCCATCGTGTGTATGCTGTAGCATAAGATTTGTGTAGTGTTTGTATATTTGTATACTAATCTATCGTATATATGCAGACTCTGTTCACTTTGCTCCATGTAATTCATGTTGATATGCTGTTATTGCTATTGTCTAAGGAGGGATGTCCAACCCGCAGCCCACTTAATATTTTTATGCGACCCACTGTACCCTAAATTTTTTAGGTACATTTTCATTTATTTTTGTAAAGAATGTTATTAAAAATTAACCCCATTTCACTGGATACATGTTGATGTTGTAATGACGTAATTGGTACTACCCCACATGTATAACATACTGTTGTGAACAATTCTTTTCATGCATGAAAAACATAAAAACGTGCTGAAAAAATAGGTTGAGTGATTCCCATTTAACTAACATTCTTAGAACTAAAACTAGTACAATAAAAGCAGATATTAACAATATTATAAAAGGAAGGCAATATTAGAAATCACATTGAATTTATTTTTATTTTGTATAAGTACAATTAATAATACAGTATTTTATGTAATTATATATATTTGTTGTTAAAATTTGATTTTNAAAAGGTTGGACAACCCTGGTCTAAGGTGTTGGTTCATCTATCTGACTAAATAATGTATATTTTCACATGTTTTTGTTATTCTTTCCTTATCACAAATATTGTTGGTTCTCTAATCAGCATGTTACATCATTGTATTTTTACCCCAACTGTGCCCAGAAGTGTCAGGTAAAATAAAGTTTATTTTGTCTATCTGTCTGTATCAATGTCCTGGTACTAAATTAAATTAATTAATTAATTAAAACTGAACATCACTATACTATGACATTAAGGACATTAATAAGAACAGATAAATACTCTCTTAGTGAAAAACTCTTTTGGTATGAGTTTTGTATCACATTGCAAACATCACATGCTTATTATTTTGTTTTTTTGCACAATAACTAAAAATAAATATTTTTACTATAAAACTATTACATCAAGTTATGATCCAATTTAAATTTAAGAAATGTATGGGTCAAACTTATTCCAATGATTTGTCATATTTGTTTTACATAAAAATAAAAATTAAAAAAAGTCAATCAATCACTTTTAATCTTTAACATAAAACAAATGAAATTTTTAAAATATAAATATTTACCTTAGCTCTTTCCAGTTTTTGCCTCTGTTCATGAAAATGTGGTGAAGTTTTTAATGCTAGAAATGTAATTAGAAATTGATGAAACTCAAATAATAAATACCATTATATTATAAAAAATAATAAATATTTATTTTAGTTACATAAATAAAATTTGAATTTTTTAAATTACTAATCAAATTGTTGTGTTTAACATTAAAAAAATGCAGTAATGCTGTTGCATAACTTTCCTGACTAAAAACTTAAAATTGTGTAAGGTGCCATCAGTTATGAGATTTTATACAAAAAACTTTTTATATTATTACTTATTATAAAATGGCAAAATGCTTAATTTTGGAGGTAGAGATGAAGAAATTGTAAATGCTAATAACAAATAAAATCTTCATTAAATCCGATTCCACTCAAGATATGATGCCTGACCTCCCTCTGTCTCCCACCCTTGACCTTTAGCCACTAAAGTTTAATAGCACCAATGCTCCTAATATACAAACCTCCATGCAAAATTTCAGAAATTTTTCACAAAAGGCACAGTAGTTATTCAGCTTCAAATTGGGTGAACAAAACAGTGTCCTCCAACACACACAAACATCCATACATATAGAAAAACCCCAAATTTTATTTGCATTTTTTGATGTTTCATGGTATCTGAAGTCTGGAAATGTTAAAATGTTAAAATATAAAAATGTTACATGGGAGGTCATTTTTTGATCAATTGTCATATTTTCCCTCTGTTATATGAAACAGATAGGAAACTAATAACTAATATAGAAATAATATAATATTAAAGTAGAGAAACTAAGAAAGAAAATAGAAATTAATTTATAAGATTTCTGTTTAATAATGGTAGGGATTGATGCCAATTTATGAAAACATGTAATATATAATCACTTTTATTTCTTGAGAATAAAGTGGAATAAAGGCACTCAACTTTAAAACTTCACAGAAATGGATATACATAATATTCGAATATTTCTGAAAGGCTTTTAACCTGCAAGCACTTTTAATATTAATGATACAATATAAAATATTAAACTTGAAAATTAGAGTTTAGGAAACTAAAAATAATTTATTATAAATTAATGATTTATAGTTTATTCGCATTAATATTAGATTACAAAGATAAGGAAATTTGTGTTATAATAGAGCAAGATATTATTATAATTATGTTAAAAATTCCATCTAATTTTCTGCAAAATGTGTAATTAGTGAATAGCTTATATTAGTTTATGAAAAAGTCTGCTTACCATTTTAATAGTGGAATGATAGTAAAATAATTTCTAATAATTACTCAATCAACAGTATTAACGAGTTAGTTGTCGATAAAATAATTTTGTTTTCTTTTCTCTTAGTATATTTGTTAAATTGCATAACAATGTATTTGAACTATTTAAATATATGCATTGTTCAATAGTGATGTGTTTTATTTTCTGGCACTGATTATCACGTCGCAACTGTATCAGTTTTATTTTTAATTTACTTTCATGCAATAAATTACTGTATTTAATTAGATATTTAATTGGGATGTACAAATATCAAAACTGTATAAATTTAATTTTTGACAATATTATATAATTGATTTATAATTAATGTAAACATAATATTTGACATTTAAGATAAAAATTTAATTTTTGAATTTTGTTTGCTGAAGTACAATGTTATCATAATTTTTAAATGAATTTTAATTTTAATATTTTTATTTTACAGAAAATATTATATAAATGTCTTCTAAAAATTCTACAACTTACATGGCATAATTCCTTGTTCCACTAATTGATTGAGGGGTCTTCGTAACATTAGTTTCACCTTCAAAGCTGAAATATTTAAGATGTCATAATGAAAAGTCTATTGTAGATAAAGTGTTGTTGAAAATAATATATTTATAACCAAGTTTTGGATAATTTTCATCATAACTATACTCTTTGCCAAAAAAAACAAAGGAAGTACCCCACTGTAATTAAATTTTACATGTATGTATATGAGGACAAAAAATAATAATTAAAATTTCAAAGCAAATTGACTGTAGTCTATATGGCAACCTCTGGAAGCAATGCATGTTGATATGCAGCAAGTCATAAAATCAAAGTTCTTACACTGTCCTGTGACAGATTTTGCCATGTAGTTCATAAATGATGCTCAAAATCACAAATGTTCTGGGATGGCTATAGCTGATATCCCAACATGTTATGTCCTAGACATACTCAATTGGGAAGAGAACAGGTGATCTCTCTGGCCAAGGAAAGGTTTCAATTTCATGAAAACACTCTTAGAAAATGTAAATGAGTGCTACATGTAGCCAGACATTATCCTGCTAGAAAACAAAAGATAAACATGAGAGGACCACCAAAACTGCTGTCTTATCAACATACATGTGTAGTGACATAATGCAAGCTGATAGCCTAGTATGTATCATGTCATTACTAAGGGAAACCAGACATCAGCAGATAGGTTTCCACATACCATTACATCTCTAGTTATAATGACATGCAGCTGAACAACTGAGCCCACCTGTGAGCCCTGACTGACCCTTGCCCATATTCACACACTTATCATCAACACCAAGACAGAAATGAGATTGTTTGCTAAAGACAATTTGACACCATTCTGCAACTATCCATGATCATGGCATCAAGCCAGACAAAGTCTCCAACGTTCTGTCATTAGTGGCAGGCATCTAAGTGGGCGTCTAGAATAGAATCTTTGCCTTTACCAATTGCCTGGCAATGGTACAACTTGCTATTAGATTTTGCTAAAGGATGCCATATATTACTGAATGATGACTAATGATATCTTTGGAGCATTAATGTTTCCCTCACTATTCTGTGATCCTCCCTTCTGTGTGTCCTGAGGGCCAACTTTTTGATGAGTCCATAAATCTTCTACCCATTAATGCTTAACATTGTCTCACAGACGCATCACTATCTCAAATGGCAAATAATACACTGGTAAGACCAATCAGCTTCTTGAGTAATTAATTTATATTATAAAAATATAATTAATTTAAAGCTTTTATCATATGGCTTAAAATCTTTATTAGAATTATATCCAAGCCTCTTAAAGCCNTTTTGCCTGTAAAATTTTTTGATTTAAATATTTTTATGTTCTATTTATGGAACATTTGCGTTCCATTTTTTCGACCTGAAGATGGCCTATTAACTAGGCTGAAAACGTTTGTTTTTGCAAATTATATTTATTTCTCGGCAAAAAAAGGTGTTTTCGTTATTATTATTTAGTTGCTGAGCGCTTTAACAATAACATTTTTTAAATATAAATTTTAAAATAAACCTGTAAAAATGCAGCCAAATTCATTAAAACGAAATTATAGTTCAAGCAAAAATTACATTGGATTAATCGATATGCTAACAAAATACAAGAGAAAACATTAATATACTGCAACTGTTAGCAAGAACAACATAATACTTGTGCAATTTACTCTGAATTGTAGAGAATTATGAATCATAAATTATAAAAAGCTAAATTCCAAATTCCAAAGATTACTTCATTCATTCATTTGCCTAATAAAACATATTTTAAGAAATGCAATCATTTAGTAAAAAGAAATAGAAACATATTATAACAGAGCAGTTCAGTAAATATATATAAATAAAAAGATAATTCCATTCTTCAAAAATAAAGTTAAAAAAAACTGTTTCTGAGCCAAATTGAAAGGAATATGGAAAAAATAAAGTTAGATTTGTGAGCCTAAAAATGTTTATGGCATAACTATTTAATTTTGCAACATTAAAGCAGTGTACCAGTAATTTTTTAATATAATTTTTTATACAGAAAACTTTCTTTGTAAAGCTTTTGTTCTGTCGGTAAGCTGCAGAGAAGAAGGAACACACTAAGCAGCCTATGAGAGGCATAGGGACACATGATGCCAACGACAAGCATCTCAAATGCAAAAGGAGAATTTTTCAAACTTTTGTTAAACATACTTATACCAGATTTTGCTAATATGAAAGTGTGGAAAGTATTAATGTAAGAATTATAAGAATAATAAATGCACTTAAATATTTCTACATTTTTTTTTATTTAAATTATATCTATTTTTAATTATAATTACAATTATCAATTAACTCCATAAAACAAAAAGTGGAGAAAAGCGACAAAGTAATATATATTCTTTTTTAAAATTCCTTTTAAAATATAAATTCAAACAAACATTGTAGAATGTATTATTGTATATGTAGCTTTTATTTAACAACATATAAAATGTATAAAATAGCATAGATATGCCATAATCATCATTTTTATTATGATTTTGGTGTGATTGATGGAGTTAATCAATTTGGCAAGTGAAAAACCTAGTAACATTCAGTTCAGTCAGATTCAGTCAGTTTTTCACATACATTATAGAAAAACATCATTATTGTATTAAAGATTTTTCACAAAAATGAATAACTGTTTTGTTACTGTTATTGTACAATGGTTGTTATTATTATTTTGTTTAAATTGATTATTCAGAAACATAAATGATGTCTTTTTTGTCAGCTGTATTTGAGGTACCATCATGTTGATTTGTTCTTAAATTTTTATAAGAATCATGTTTAATAGAAAGAATGAAAAAATTATTTTTAGTTTAAATTATTTTTAGTTTTTAGTCATCTTGATATAACGGTATAACGTTTTTTTTCTAATAACAATTGTCATTAAAATTAAAACAACCATTCAATATTTCACAAGTATACTTACTTCTGCAGCAGTTAGACTGTAAGTAACTAATTTCTTTTACTTACTTTTTGTGATGAGATAACATTAAATAATTTACCATTATCTACAAGACATTGGTCAGCACACACTGAGATTGCAATGCTGCAGTGTGCGCTGGTGGATTTACATTACAGTATAGAGAGAGAGATATAATTAAATTGGATTCTGAAAGAAATAAAATTTTTTTTTATGGACAATAAAATTTTGTCATTAAGTGGAATTAATCCTTACTATTACGGAAACTTATTATGAATATAAAAAGTTATGAGTATATCAAGTTCTTTGACACTAAAATTTTAAAAAATTTGAAATGTGGAGTTAATCAATTTGGCTTGTGAATGGCTCAATTAATGCTATACATTATAATAAAAATAATTTTAGGGCAGAATATAAATTCTTGTATTAAGGTGCTAAGCTCCCTGGTGCCGGTTGTGGTAAACTGTAGAATTATTTTGTCTCAGTTCTGTAATTTACTGATGAGACTAAAACTTTATAATAAAAGATACAATTTTGTTCTAATTTTTTATGGTCATTTCCATTAGTAAGATAATCTGCAATTAATCTAATAAATGATTAAACTTGCATTCAAAACATTTTTTCCACATGATAGATCACTTGTTTGATTTCGGCATCATCAATTATTATTGAAATTTATTATTTTGCTTTACTATTACAAAACAGCTAATAGATAAATTTAGCAAACTGTAATCAAATTTTGCAAAAATAATTTGTACATAACTGACAGAAATTTCAGTTTTTGCAATAAAATAAATATTTAGAAAAAGACAGAAATTGACAAAAAATACTTACATTCTTTATTCTTATTCATGGCTTTCTGAAGAGATGCATCATCTACGATAGCCTTGGGAGGAGATTCCATGTCCCTCGTGTTATATAAGGGAATTATAATTTTCCCATTTTCTGTCTTGTAATGGGTATTTCCTTCGGCCATATTCGAAATACAAAAATTACAATCCTTAAACCACTCTGGATATATACTAACTATGGTTTCTAAAAGATCTTGATCTAACTGGATACCCCAATACGTTTGATTATCTCCTTTTTCTAGAAAAATAAAATCACATTCAATAAGAAACTGAATATTCTAAATATTCACTTCAAATTAAATACATATATAAATCAGTTTGAAAACTATTGAAATGGTGATCTATGAACAACATATAACAAAATAATATTCTTCTTTATCTTCGCCTTTTCCAATGTTTATATGGAGTTGGCATTTCCTTCTCTAATATGTTTTCTCCATTCCTTCCTATGAAGGGTGTCTTCTCTCTTAAGTCCCTTCTGATTCAAGTCTTCCTCCACCTTATCTTTCCAATGCAGCCTTGGTCTTCCTCTCTTCCTCCTTCCTTTCACTACCAGTTTTCTGACCCTCTTTCCAACATAATCTTCACTACTTCTCTCTATGTGACCAAACCACCTCAACCTGCATTCTTGCATCTTCCTTCTGTAGGGACCCACCTTATCAGAACCTCTAATAAACTCATTCCTTATTCTATCCTTCCTTGAAACTCCACACATCCATCTCAACATTCTCATATCCGCCACCTCCATCTTTCTTGGGCTCTTGTGATTGCCCATGTCTCAGCCCCATACAACTTATTGCAGGTCTAACAACTGATTTGTACAATTTACCTTTCAGTTTGCAGCTAACTTTCTTGTCACATAACACACCGCTCAACCATCCACATTGAATTCTATGTTGCACTTCCGAGTTCAATCCTCCCCCATCTTGACAAAGACCCCTAGATACTTAAAACTCAGAACTTAAAACTAGATACTTAAAACTCATAAAATTATTTTGTTATATGTTAACATATAGCAAAAATCTGACAAGTGCTCTTGCCAGATTTTTGTTATATATTACTCATAAATTAAGATTATATATTATCCCAGATTACTCATAGATTATCAACATACATTATATGTTATCCCATCAATCAAACAGGAGATAAAGGAGGCCATTACAAAGTCTGATAATTTTCGATTATACGACAATATAAACAATCTGTAACTCTACTCCATTACAGTTATTGTTATTATTATTATTATTAATTAATGAAAATACCATTCTGTATATGTAGCTGTATACCGTTTCCTTAATAAATTTTATCAATTACATGGCATTTAGCATACTGTACAGAAAACATGTAAATCTTGAAAATTCAAAGTTGCAATTATTTCGTCCCTTGAATTTCGAACTAACAAGGATTTCCTGTATTAGACATTTAGTAAATTTTATAAATTCAAATTCATTATGTTAATATTAAAAAAAATAAGTAAATGCAATCAATAGCTTTTTTTGTTTTATAGGAATGGATTCAATTAACAGAATAAGACACTACATAAGCAATCTGCCAGGAAAAAGTGTCCCCCAGAAGGACTTTCTATGAAACTGGTTCCTATTTAGATGTTAGAACATGTGAATAAAACCCAAAAAATTCCATAGGTTATGCACAAACCCAGTGTTCAGTAGTATTATTCACCAGCCACTGGTAGGCTTCTTTCTTTTTATAAATTGATATTTTAAAGCAAATTAAAATAGAAATGGAAAATTAACAGAAACTCAGTCTTGCTTTCAAATTAAGTTATTAAAGCTTAAATATTGTTCCAATTAAGTCTATAACTGAATATATAAAACTTGAAAGTAACTATAGCTACCTTAATTACCAATATATATTATTTTTAATCAAGTTCAAATCTCAATAAATATAACAAAATCTATGTGATAAAAGTCATTAATCTCATCTACAAATGTCTACAGTTTGGTCTCATATTTGAAATTTAAAAAAAAATCTTTACAAACAATTCTGAGTTCATAGTACTACAATTTCATTACAATGACAATTCAGAAATAATAAGCAATGAGTTGCTAACCAAAATGTTGAGATGAGAATTCCAAGTGTGTATATGTATCTCTAGTGCAGCAAGTAATTAATAATGTAATTCAATAGAAAGCATATAGATATGCACTGTACACTGTAATAAATATCATAAATTTATATATGAACATATAATTGTCAAATCTAAATGATATCAAAACAATATGTTTTAAAATTTAAAAAGTAAAATAAAATAATATACAGTAAACCCTCCATTTAACAGACCAGATTTAATGGACAAAAAATTCCTGTCTAATGAGAAAAATTTAAAGCATTTTATTCACAATTCAAGCTGGGATTAAAGAGTCACTGAGTCAAGTTATTATATTTTATTAATACTTTTACGTCTTATTAACATTTTAAGTTTGTCATTAATAAATTGAATGTGTTTTAAAAAAACAAAAAAGACTTTTGGCAATAACTGACATCACTTTTCATCGAATAATCTGTTAAATCGAGGGTTTACCGTATATATATTCTTAGTGAGTATGATTAAGCATTATTAATTAAATTCACCTATGACACTAATGACTGAATTTGCCAATTTGCGCAAACAAAACAAACGATTTAAATGATCGAAAGGATAGAGTTCGACATAAATTTGTCTAACCCGATTTTAAAAAATAGTCACATACTAAAATAGTCCCAAAATAATTAGGTGTTACTATAATTTTACTCTGAATCACACGGTATTTATTCATATTCGAGATCAACCAACTACTTGTAAAAATATATTTCTGCTGCATTTTACTTAAAGTTTATTTTAGTACGTGTGCCTTTTATTTTTAATGTTTACCTAAATACGCGTGACGATGCAATTTTGTATCGAGACCCCAAAAAATGCTTTGAAAATTCTGATTTTATTAAAATTATGACTTTTTAATTCCATGAATATTGTTTCCAATTATTGTATCAGTTATTAAAAAGAAAAAAAAATTTAAATTAATTTTAAATTATTACGTGAATTAAAAATATAATTGTAATACAAGAGCTAATAAAGTTTATTAGTAACAGTACAGTTTGTTGACAATTACTTGTATTAACACCATTAATAAATCAAATTAAAATATTTTATTAACAGTTAAATATATAAATAAAATTATCAAAAAAAGTAATCAAACATTGCATTGAATTTGCATAAAATAATTATATTTTGTAATCACTGGTTAAAAAACCTATATTTGATAATAAGTATACAACATTCTCCATTGTTTATATGACTGATTCCAATTCATTTGAATAGTTTTTTTAAGCATTAACATCAAAGAATATTTCAACATATTTAAATTATATTTTTTTGTGTTAAAATACTAAGAAGGATATTTATAATATATTATATTTTATAAATGGCTTTCTTAACATGTAAATTCTTAGAAATCATTCAATTTACAGAAATTCTTGATGATGATCTCCATCTAGATTTATTTTGTAGGTTATATGAAAAACAATGACCTGATTTATTTGTATAGCCAAACGATCCAATGGACTATCCATTCAGTTATTTTAAGGCTAGTAAATAAATTAAACACAGATCAATTTGGCTAGAGTTAGACAGAATCAATCACCTTCTGTAAAAAATAAGTTAAATGTAATCATAATTTTTAATTGAATATATTCTCGGGAGAGAGAAAAATGTTTTATTTTTCAGAGATTTTAATCTGAAAGGTAATTGGCCTATCTTCAATAACTCATTTTAAACACATAAGAATATAAGATAATAATCAGGTATTTTATCTCTTAAGCTAGCATCTAATTTAATTCCATCTTATCACTTATCTAAAAATGCAATGTAAATTTTAGAAACTATCATAAACTAGAGCTACGATAATGATCTTTTTTCAGAAAATCAATGGAGAATTACTATAAATTTTTAGCCACTTAATTTCTATGACTAAAATTTGATCATAATGAAATTCTTTTAAAGACAGATATTTAATTATTTATTAAAAATTTACTATAAGTATAAGAAGTGATTATTTCACACCATCACAAAATAAACTCATTCGAAAATTCGTTAGTAACTTAGATTTTATAGGTTTGGTAAAATAAAAATTTATTTAAACCTTTCATTTAGCACATTATAATATGATTCAATATTATCTTTATTACGAAAAGATTTCATAAATTTTGTAAGATGTTACATATGTTTTCGGTTAAAAAGACATTGCCATTATCCATTTGGCATATGTCCACTCGAATAGTGCCAGAAAGTACGACCGTTAACAACGTGCCATAACGTTTCTGGCAATAAGCCTTATTCATCTAGTCACCTTGACATATATCATGCTTGTCTTTCATGTTCAGCAGAACTCCTGCATTCTTAGAAGCTGACTNCTCAAAGAACATAGATACGCCATAAGAAAAGCATCTAATTCAACGATATTGTCACAAATGGCGCAAGCGCAAGGCTCTGAGGTTAAATGGGATGAGGCAACAATCATCAAGCCTCTGTCTTCCCCAACTCTAGCAATGACGGCGGAGAAAATTGAAATATACAGAAGTAGGATAGGGGAAGGCTGTTTAAATGCGAGAGATGCGGAGAGCCTACCATCGGCATGGAAATATTTGGTAAAGAAATATACTAGAAACTTCGACCAGAATTAATCCACTGAAGATTTATGTTATTTCTGTTTTAATTAATTAATTAATTAATTTGTTTATATATTCTTCCGTTATTTTTACTTGTAAAATTTTTTGATTTAAATATTTTTATGTTCTATTTATGGAACATTTGCGTTCCATTTTTTCGACCTGAAGATGGCCTATTAACTAGGCTGAAAACGTTTGTTTTTGCAAATTATATTTATTTCTCGGCAAAAAAAGGTGTTTTCGTTATTATTATTTAGTTGCTGAGCGCTTTAACAATAACATTTTTTAAATATAAATTTTAAAATAAACCTGTAAAAATGCAGCCAAATTCATTAAAACGAAATTATAGTTCAAGCAAAAATTACATTGGATTAATCGATATGCTAACAAAATACAAGAGAAAACATTAATATACTGCAACTGTTAGCAAGAACAACATAATACTTGTGCAATTTACTCTGAATTGTAGAGAATTATGAATCATAAATTATAAAAAGCTAAATTCCAAATTCCAAAGATTACTTCATTCATTCATTTGCCTAATAAAACATATTTTAAGAAATGCAATCATTTAGTAAAAAGAAATAGAAACATATTATAACAGAGCAGTTCAGTAAATATATATAAATAAAAAGATAATTCCATTCTTCAAAAATAAAGTTAAAAAAAACTGTTTCTGAGCCAAATTGAAAGGAATATGGAAAAAATAAAGTTAGATTTGTGAGCCTAAAAATGTTTATGGCATAACTATTTAATTTTGCAACATTAAAGCAGTGTACCAGTAATTTTTTAATATAATTTTTTATACAGAAAACTTTCTTTGTAAAGCTTTTGTTCTGTCGGTAAGCTGCAGAGAAGAAGGAACACACTAAGCAGCCTATGCGAGGCATAGGGACACATGATGCTTGGGACTACATGAGGCATGGGACATTTGAGATGCTTGTCGTTGACAAGCATCTCAAATGCAAAAGGAGAATTTTTCAAACTTTTGTTAAACATACTTATACCAGATTTTGCTAATATGAAAGTGTGGAAAGTATTAATGTAAGAATTATAAGAATAATAAATGCACTTAAATATTTC